TGTGATACAAAAGCCAGAAAGTTAACTGTATTAAAAGACTGTGCAGTAGATCAGTACTGCATATAAATGCTTTTGTAATCTATGGCATAATAACAGGTCATATTTTATTTTATTTTTAGAACTTAAACTTACTTACCGAACAAGCTGTTGGCAAATCTGGCATCCTGGAAGGCATCTGAAAATAAAGTAAAATATGTGTGAAATATATCCTGGGCCTGGTGAGTTAAAGAAAATACATTAAATGGCTAGATCAATGAGAGAGATTTAAAGAAAATAACTTCTAAATAGGTGCCATAAGATTACGGTACTTGCTGTATTTATTAGCTGATTATGAGAGAAGTCGTAGTGTCAGATATGTTTCTGAAAGTCAGGACCTATTTGACGTGCCAATGATAGGGCCGGTACATTCCATTTTAGCGCCACCATGTCAAATACCAGCAAGTGTCTACAGTGAATTGTGTTCCATCATAAAATATCACTAGTATTGATCGTTGATGCTAACTCTTCAAGACAATACAAAAGAATTGATAACATCACTTCTTTGAAACTGGGACTATTCTGAAAATCACACATATTGTAAGTACATTGCTTGTAGGAGAGTGGTGGTTAGAGTTTGTGTGTAGTCTATCACTCTGTACAATTAGAGCACATCCATGGCCTCACACTTCAGTATTTCTGGGAAGGGGCCAGAGTAGAGTCACATACCTGTGGGGCTCTCTGGACACAGTGAGCATATACACACATTCTCGCTTGCAGAATGTGCTCTCTATCCAGGGTTTCTGGGACTGTGGAGAAACAGAAATTATTGAACTCAAAATTTTACCAGATATGTTTAATGCCACTTTGCCAGATTGCAAATTAACTAGAGATTTGTTGATGAAGAAAGACAAAACATTTGTAATCGTAATAATAACAAAATAACAAAATAATGTATGTGTTATTTCCATCGTCTTTCCAAAAGAATTATGCCACAGGAATTTAATAACGTACATTCTTCCAAGATTCCTAAAAAGCCTCTGAGAGCGATTAGAGCTGCTAATCTTTTTAAACACAAAGCAAGAAACCTGTAGGTACCATCACTCCACAGCATTGTAGTCAAGTACAAACTCACAAAATCATATATATATAGTATATAATAGTGTTATACTGCAGTGTATAACACTACCACCATAGTGAAACTACAAAGTTTGTTGAGGATGATTAAAATTCACTGCCATTATGCTAGCTGTCACCTCCACTCAGAGAATGCATGTGTAAAGTGACATGAACAGATAAAATAATGGACAAAATGTCAAACTATGCAGGTGAGGCAAAAGAAAAACAGCTACATTAAGCACAGCACAAAAATTTGTGTGAACTCCTGAGCACAAGAGAAGTCTAAGAAGATGACAGCGGCTTGTGTGAAGCAGTTCAAATAAAGGGTCAGCTCTTGACCATTGACCAATGAGTGCATACCTGGATGTCCTCCTCATCTCTGTGTTTAAGGGCTTTGTACAGGAACATACCAAAACTCCTTCATGCATCTCCTGGACAAACCACAGTCACCACAGATCTGTCCTGTCGCCGCAGTGAAGATCAATCCAACATTTACAGACAGGTTTCAAAGTCTATTTAAGGTTTCCACACAGATCCGGTCTCAGTTAAAAAGTGAAAGCTCCTGTACTGCACTGTTAATCTGTAAGAAGCAGATGAATGTGTCTGGGACAGGCTAGATATTACCCTCTCAGCCCTGGGAGAAAGAGACGCAAAGGCGGGGGATAGAGGGGATTTAGAAGATGGGCAGAGGCCTGCATGATATATACCTTGTTGTCGACTCAGGACACCCCACCAACTGTGATTCATCTCACACACACACACACACACACACACACAGACTCAAAAACAATCATTTCAACAGTAAACTCTGGGAGGCAGCAACAAGTCACCGATTTAACACCATGCTTAAATTACTCAGTACACTGATTTTGGTAAACTTATATGAAAGGATCAACCGAACCTAAAAGGGGGCTATTTTACTTTTATTAATTACTAACCCATATTTAGATCACCATATACCTTTTATTGCAATGAAAATGCTATATTAGCCAAAAACTTTTTAAACAGGTTTTATAAGTTTCACTTTCATTTTGACTGCTGACTGCTTCACAGTTTATGACTCGTTTTTGCTTCCCTTCACTAAAGAAAATACTGCACATCGCATCAGATTTGTCAAGTTGTTGCGTACAGTTCTGTATCATGCTTTTAAATATTTGTGGAAAACTGTTGTGTGGTAGCATGGGTGACGTAGGCTGATCGCACAGAATTTTTTTTATTAGAAACTATTGCAGACATATTATGTGTATGGTGGTACAGACTTTGAAGTAGAAACATAGGTATAGGTATATAATTTCTTGTCCTTGTTTTTTAACTTTATTACACATTACAATAGCAGACTAAGCTGGTTTCACTCCATTCTTTAACCTACCCTGTGACATAAGAACCTGCTTGGGAAAGTGCTTTAAGAAATGGACATTTTCTGAGTCAGATACAGTCTATGGTCAGATCTGAGCCCACAGAGTCACAGTGTACAGAGGCAGATAAAGTGGGCGGTGCTCTGTAAACCTGTAACCATGGCATCTGAGAATGTTAGGCAGTGAAGACATCAGGGCCTGAGCTCCTGCCAAAAACACACTTCCTCTCCCTTTGAGCCTACGTTCACTCAACTTTACTCAGTCAACAACTTCACCTTTATTCATACTTAAAAATAGCTTTCATTATAAACGTATTTGATAAAAACAGTTAAATGCATACTCTGCCTTACAGTATAAAAGATTAGGCTTATCCATGTAATTTCTCTCCAGCTACCCTCAACATAATGAAATGAATTGGAATTACCATTATTAGTCCTTAATTAGCCTGCTATTCAACTGAAAAACTACTTCTAGTGTAAGGCAACAATGGCAGGAAAGAGTTAAACTTGTGAATGGAAACTTGAGAAGTAATTCTTGGAAGGCTGTTGGCAGAAGTTAATTCATATTATGGTCATAAGACTACAGAGTTTTATCTCTCACACTTGTGCCCTCTGGTCTGGACCGTGCTCTGAAAAGCACATGCTGATAGTGCTACATTCACTCTCCCCTGTGACCTGCAGGTCATGGCAATCCAAGTCAATCTCTTTATACAAAGAGTATAAGGAAAAAAAAATATTTAAATGAATGTGAGGTCACTTTTCATGGTAGCTTGTAAATATTTAAAATACATAATAAGAGCAATGAAGATTTAGTTTAGGGAAAAAAAAACATCTCAAAATCTATGCAGTGGGTGCATGGGGTCCATCAAAAACTGCAGAAAGTGGACAATGGCATTTGTCACTAATGAAGCAAACAGTGCAATACAGGGAAGGCTTAAAGTTAAAGCACAAAACAGATGTGTGGGACTATGTCCTTGCCAGAATACAAAAAGTGAAGACGTTTTGCAACACAGAAGAGTGAGGACAATATCAGCTCTAGATATCATCTCAGATCAGTTAAGCAAGGTTTGTTTAACTACACTTTTAGAAGAGGTAGTCTATAGTAAATTAGCCACTATTATTCCACTGAGACATGCACAGTTGATTTCACACAGGACAGCCGATAGCCCCCTCAGCTTTATCTGAATGCTCTAGGCAGCGAAACAGCAGTATTCAAGTGGTAAGAGTCATCATGTGACCACCCAACGCCAGCAGAGTGGGAGAAATGCTGGGGAAGGAAGCATTCTTGCTAGTCGTGCCATTAAGAACCCTTATAAGATTTTAAAATTAAATTTTCAAAACACAACATAATAAGGCACCGTAAAACTACAGTTGCCAGTTGCCAGTACTAAGGTTGAATTAAGCTCGCATGCATTTATTTATCACCTAATGGACAGCTATAATGACAATCTCACACTGCTGCATCCAAATCCAAACATACAAATATCCCCTTCGCTTCACTGTGGAAGTGTGTGGTCAAACGTGATCTACAACATAATATTCATTCAGCACATACCAGAAAATCTGGAAATGGGGGGGTGAGCGGGTGAGGGGAAAACAAAGCGTCCTTACTTAAAAAGTTGGTCCTGAATCTTTGAAAGAAAATCTACATGTAGTGAACTGTGCATTTAGAGTGAACTTTGGTTTAATTGGCAGAAAGGTTTCCGTTAGCTCGTGCAGCTGTCACGTTTAAAATAAGGAAAATCAAACTATAACAACAAAAGGCAGCTCAATGAGCAGCCCTGGCTAGTTAGGCTAGCTCAGGTTAAATACCTAGCATATATAGCGGTTATTGCTCATATAGCACTAGCGAGCTAACGTTAGCTCACTGTAGCTAACACTACACCTCGTGTAGACAAGGATCATTTCTTTGCCAACAATCTGACGTTTTTATGTCTTTACCTTACGTTAAGCCAGCTGAATAATTCCACGTTTGCCAACCAGATGAACCAGAGAGACGAAAGAAATGCTTTTAAGCGCCACGTCTGAGGAACCTGCCATCCAGGACTTCTTATCAGTGTCGACCAGTAACACTTTAACAACACTGCCAAAGGAGAGCCGAGCTGCGGCTTAATAAAGAGCACCTACCATCCTCTTCACCGTTGAGACTGAGGAAGAGCTGTGTCGCAGCGTGTATCCATCTATTGACGGTGCTCTCGGTTGGCCTCAGAAGGAGAGCCCGGGGAGTGCTGGAGAGATCCGCTTCAGCTGCAGCTCCAGCGGAAGGTTGCTTTTTCATAATTGTGCTGCTCCAAACTGACACTGCGCGAGCCGGACACCGGCTGACTCAGCCCGCTCCGTCACATGGCGGGGGCGGAGCTACGGACACATGTGCACTGTGTTTTACACCAACAAAGCGCCACTCACCCGGTGCTGCTCGTTTAACCTGGTCCACTGCAAAGCTCTCTGCTCAAAACCACTTAAACCCAAACAATTGAACTGACCCATTACCACATTGCAGCAATTGAATGACTTTATTTGCAAAGTTAAAGAAGTGTATGCCCAGCCCAACGCGTTTATAGACACATGTTTAATAGTTAAGTAACCATTTTTAATGTGTTTAACATCATCAATGATACACATATTAAATACACTACAGTAATCAAAGTATGTCAAAGCTACCAAATCTTGACTGTGGTGTGATTTAAAACCCAGATATCTAACAGAACAAAAAAGTAATAAAGTGCTCATTTGTTTGACAATATGCAATTTTTATCAAGGCATTTTGTAGAAGTCTAGTCATTACTACCAAGGAAAACAATAAAAAAAATCACTTTAATATAAACTCACTCCATCAACAAATTAGCTTTCAATAAAGTAATCACTATTCATTTAAATGGTACTTTTAAAAAATCTTTACCAAAGCACAAATAGTACAATTCCCTTAACTGTATTAAAACAATAAAAAACTCAGTTGTGCTTAAGATCACCAGCTTTATGAATCAGCATTTGTCACCTTCTATGGCTCGCTCAGTTCTTCCCTCTGAAACACAAATGGAAAAAAAAATCTAATTAAAATTGAAAATACTAATTAAACATTCATGAGAAACAGTTTGTAAAATTTAGGATTGTTGTTGATAATGGGAATGTGCAAAAGTAAGCAGGCATCAGACAGCACATCTAAACAAAACAGAATAATGCAAGATAAACTCCATAGTACCTAATGACCACAGGTTGAACACAGCATGCAAAAAGCAAGAGATAAACACAGTATCAGCAATTCATTTTCAATGGCTGTGTTGATGTGTAATGAAGCAGAGAAAGAGCAATTAAACAGCAGAAAACCCACTGCCTGTAAGAGTCTCCCATTATATGTTCAGAAACGCTGTGTGCTCAAAAATAACACCTGACTACAATATGCAGTCTTTAACCCCATTGAAAATCTTTGAAATGTACAAACATTGTGGGCAGAAGTCCAACTCTCCAATAATCAATGTATTGGGAAAAAAAAATAATAATAACTCTAAAATAACTCTAAAAAATAATAATATATATTTTTTAAAATAACTCTTAAATCAATTAGTGAAAATTATGTCTCCTACTCCCTGAGCTACTCTGAACTAGTGATATGGTGTTCATGAACAAGTCGAATCCTTGACATGAACAGTTGGAACCGGATTTAATTTTTTAAAATAACAATCTAATAAAAAATAAAAAAAAACATCTTTTTCTTGCATGCATTTTTACACTGATTTACACTGAACCAAAACAAGAATAAGCTCAGAAGCAGAGTAGGCAACATGAGAGAGCGCTATATTAATAATAATAATAATAATAATAATATATTGTAGTACAACATTTTATTTAGATTCTGCTTCATTTCAAAGGATAAATACTCTCCCAATCTCCGTTTGAAGCATTTGAATAAAATCTAAGCCTCAGTCATTTCTGTCTGTGATTACATTGGCTTCTGTCATATAAAAAGTTAAAGAGCCAGTCTTTTGTACAGCTCTGTAAAAGGAACTGATCCAAAAGAACTGGATCCCACAAAAAAACACATCACTACCCTGAACTGCTCACACTTTCAGATTTAATCCTAACCTTTGATTTATGACTATGCCATCGGAAAAACTGTCATTAATGATAATCAGGTAGTTAGTCCAGCCAACATCACTGGGCACATAACGTTGCTGAATATACAGTGTTACTCTTACATTTGCCTTGGTAAATCCAGGTAGTGAATATTTGACCAGGCGGGGGTCATTGCTTTTTATGGGCTAGAGCCATCTAGTGGTCAAAGATAAAAATGTATTGACCCCCCCATTGGTTTATACACCCTGGAAATCAAAGCTTGAATAAAACAGAACATTTCTTAAAAGGAGTTAAGAAATTGTTCTAAAGTAAATTTAATAATGTTAGAAAAAGTGCTAAAGTTTTAAGAAATCCACACCTGGAAGCAAAGGTTCCCTGGATGAATCCAAGACCTGTTGAAGATAAAGTTAAGAATATTTTTTTTCTCATTTTCCCCCTCTTTCCCTTATGACACAGAAAACAAGGTCTCAGTGAATAGAAACAACGCCTGATTTCCAAGAATTTCATGCAGCTTAAATTGCAGGTAAAGCCAGCCAGGTAAGTAAGAACTCTAACTTGCTGAGGCCTGGAAAGCAACTGGAAGCCCTGAGTTATGACAAACCAGAACCAACTTGTCCTTCAAGAGTTCCTAGAATTCATACAGAAATGTGTGTTTATGTTTGTATGTTTTTTTTACACGCACAGTTATAGCTTGTTTGACTCCAACTCCAAGTATTCTAAAATGTTGTTATGTTTGGACTGGTCATTAAAGGTAAGGTACCCAACTTTACTTGGTATTATTACCTGGTCCCCAAAGGGTTGACCAGGTTTTGAATTCACGCTGTGTGTCTGTGTGTCTGTCCACCCGCCATAATTCTGCCATTTATGGACTGATTGTTACCAAATTTGGTACGAGGGTCAAGCCCCCGTGCCTGATGCCGCAGAAAAAGTTTGGTGACCATCGAAGGTCATTTGAGGTCACACGGGTCAATTGAAATGTCATGCCATTATAAAGGATAGGCAATTTCACCAATTATTCACCCAATCATCACACAAGTTGGCACATACATAACCGAGGTACATTGGATGTTACAGGTTGAAAACTGGTCAAGGTCACTTGAAGGTCAAGCTAACTAAGGGCAAATATGAGTTTTTGGTCATAACTCCGCGAAGGATCGAGCTAGAGCAATGAGAGTGGTCTCAAAATCTCAGAAAAAGTAAACACAGACGTTCTCATGTGTGACCAGTATCACACAAATGTTCATGGGCACTGTACAGTTAGACATATTGCATTGTGGATATAATGATCATGTAATATGGGCTGGACTCTTCATAAGATAGCTTCCGTGGTGATTAACTGCCTCCATTGATGCCTCATGGGGGACCAGGTTGCTATCTCCGATTGCACTTGTTTATTTGTTCTATGTGGGCCTTATGTAGCAGCTGATTGCAAACTCAGAAAAAAAGAACCTACTTAAAGCAAATTGGCTTGTAGTCTAAAAAAGCTGTTCTAAAGCTGTGCACATGCTCGAAAATTCATGTACGGGAATTCTAGTGATGTCCTTAACTATTAGTGCGAGCTAGGAACTAAATAACTGATAGGATTTCTACTTCCATAGTTTGAAAATCAGGTACCTCTAAAACCATGCAAATCCAATAATACATTAAGTCACCTTAAAAAAGAGGTAAGATTTAAACATTTAATTGCATTGATTTAATGTCTTGCCTCATAAGAAGTTCCAGTCCAAAACTTCTTCATCTCTCCTCTACACCCAGCCACCACAGCAGAGGTTATAAGAGTAAAAGGCACTAGGTAAAGCAGAGCTGGCTGACCCATCCCGGACAGGAGCATGACAGTGAATGTGATGATCATTCCCATGAGATAGGCTGAAAAAAAGATGTTTTAAGCATGACTAAACAAACATTATACAGGAATTAAACATGCCTAAAAAAAGAGTGAATGAGCTAATTGTGTACCTGTGCAACAGCTGATGAAGTACACCTTACGACCACTGTTTACCCAGACATCAAATCTGCTGCAGTAAGCAACCAGTAACCCTAGAAATGTACAAATATTATGTTTTATGAGTTGGGACTACTTCTGCTCACCAAACACTAAATAGAGATGTACATAGTAAAAATAAAAATTACCTGGAACAATAATGTCTCCATAACCCAGAATAGAGAACTGCATCCCACATAAATTCTGGGCCAAGCCTGAGAAGCGAGGAACTCGCATCACTACAGGCAGCTATGGAAACAAAAACAAGCAAACTTCTGTTTGAAAGTGTTTTAGACAACTGATACAACTAGAAGAAAATAATAATTAAAGAGCTATCTTTCTTTAGGATTAACATTCCACAACTGATGAAAAGGTTAGTCAAGCATGCTGATTAGAAACTACAATCAGGAAAGTAAAGGAATTAATTATCTATTCAATTATGCCAGTTTTCCACGCATTTAGCAGCCTTGTTGCACATGTAAATGGTTTAAACAGCCAAGCATGTCCATGCTTTTTAGAAAAAATGTTAATAGTTAGCAAGAATGGACAGCTTACTTTTTCTGTAGGGGGCTGGGGCTCAGCAGGCACTTCCACCATGTTACCGTGCATCTAGGAGAAAGCCAACCCAACCCCAGTGCACAGTTAATAAAGGAACAAGCAGAGCAGATTAGTCTAGATTATGTCAAATGTAAGCAAGCACCAGCTTAACTCTTTTTATTCTGAAATGAATTTTTGATTCAATTTGATTTAGACAATGGAGATTGAGTAGCAACCAATTAAAAAGTATACCTTTTCTCCAGATGCATCTGGGCCAAGGGCAACCTGCACCATGATGCTGACTCCATTCTAGCAAAAAAATGTATTACAATCTAATGGTAAATGTGTATGCTTAGTTATCATGTTCATTACATACCTTGGTAAAAAATGGAGTAATAAAAACAAAGAAGACATCATATAGAAGCAGAAGGCTCAGTAGAATCACACAAATCTGTAAAGATTAAATTATATTAACTTGTAAAACTTTCTTGATCAAATCAATAGTAGGACTGCACCAGAATTGGAATTGGTTCCAGACTATCGGTTCAACTAATATCCTGTTCAGACCTATGCACTGATCTAATGAGACCATTACTGGCTATTTTTGAACTCAGGATGTTTAAACAAGTTCTGTAGTTACTTGATATAACACATTTGGATCAATTTTGTTACATCTGTGTTTTAAGGAAAGAAATTACATTTTCACTCTGCATTGTATCAGGTATTGATATTGGAAGTCAATGTATCAATAACGGTATTAGAATGGCGCATTTCTAATAAATTCATGGGTTACAGGCCAAAGATTTCTTTCTCATTTGATGGATTCTGTGAAAACCTTTCTCCAATCAAAAGATATATTTTGATTTGAATACTGTTATTACTATAACAGACAGCTGCCAAATCCTTCAAATTTAGAATGAATTTTTGAAATTAATCTGTCTGTCCAATATCATTTTTGATATGAAGATCAAAAGTAGTATCCACTTCAGGTGTAGCACTTTTACAGAGAACCCTATTTGCACACAATGTACTATGGTAAGAGGAAAATTAATTAGTTTTACACGAGGATGGGTAAAAATTTTCAGTTTATGTTGACAATAAACAGTAATGATTAAGTTCACTTTAAGCTGATAAATTAGACCAGGTGTTTTATTCAAACAAAAACACCTCACCAAACAAAAAGACCTAACCGAACAAGACTGGTTATACAGCATGCAACAAAAACAAAAACATACCTTAAAATTAGACAATGAAATTGTTCTTATGAAATTAAGGCAGAAGGCAATGCCAAGGATGTCCTGCAGGATCCAGATCCATCTACAAAAATGTTGTAATTATAATTTGTAGAAGGTTATTTGTATAAATATCATTCAATTTAACATCATCTTTGAGATTATACTAAAACAAATGCATACCAAATTATAAAATGAACTGCACTAACATGTGCTAAACAAGGCTAAGATAATATATTACCTGTCTTCATTCCTGTAGACACCCCAAATCACTGCTATGACAATGCACACAGATGCCAGAATAATAGATCTCACAGAAAAGTTCCAATTTCTCACTGAAAACCTGTCAAAATGACACAGGCATATAAATGGACAAAAGTCTCCACATTAACAGCTTCATAGAAAACCATGACTGTCCTATGCATTCTTAAAGCTAATTGAATTACTTTTCACACTTGAAGATTGGCATTTCACACATGGAAATGTTTCAATATTACATTGTACTGTATGTGTGTTTATAATTAGCTGTTTAAAAAATGTTTTATTCATTAAACAAACCTTATAGTGCCACAGCCAATTTTATCCAGCACAGCGTCAAAACAGAAAAACAGCGCATTTGCAGATGCCAGGCAGAATATGGCAATAATGACATACACTAAAAAGAAAGAAGTATTTTAAGTATATAATATAATAAACTCGCAGAAAATACAGATAAGTACTATAAGTTGTACTAACCCAGGATATTGTAGAAGTAGTACATGAGGACAAGCATTCCACACATCACCAAAACTAAGACCACTACTTTAAGGGGGGAATAAAGGAAGAGCTCTCCACTGTCAGCTTTGCCTTCGCCTCTTCCTCCGTCATCATGGGCATGGCCACTACTTAATCGCTCTCTACCACACACAAACAATCAAGGGGTAGTCAGTCCCTCCCATGTTCTTTTTAAAAGTAGTAGACCAAACAAATAATAGATAAAAATAGAAAGAACCATGGCCTAGGCTCTACTCATATTCAGTAAAATTACAATCTAGTAGTATTTGTGCTGTTTATGCAAGAGACCAATCCACATACCTTTCACTGGCACCACTCCAGAAGCCACCCAAGGCTACTGTCATTATAGCAATTAGAAGCATAACTACAATGCTTGGGTCTATCTTTGCTTGTGGTGGGGCATACAGCTTCACTTGCATCTCCCCAGTGAACACCTACAAAGTAAGCATTACAAACATTAGAAACAACATGGGTCAAATCAATAAACCAAAATACAATGCTGTCCAACCTGTTGTGCTTCTAAAAAGTCCCTGTATCTCATAAGCGCAAGGGGAATAGTTATCTTTGAATATTCAGATTCATTGGCTGATGGAGTGGCCTGTAATTTCACATTTAAAGAAACACTTTGAGTCAGATAAACCTGTCCAAGGTTTTCCTAGGCTAGCTTAAAAATACAAATTTCAGATAATTCAGATAAACCATACCAAAGTCTTGTTGCTTGCAATAAGCAAAGTGGTAGCTCCAAGTTCCTGAGCAGTCAACGCTTTCTGGCTGAAATCACAGTCTCCTCTCATCACCACTACAGCTTTTCCTTTGACAAGGTCTGGGGTGACCCCTGAGCTGTTACACAGCAATTGTGAGGTCAAATTTACCAAAGGGTATACAGTCTGGAAAGGAAGGTTATACAGGGTAAGTCTTGACTGTAGAAAATTGCATGTTGTATTATTCATGGCAGAAAATGGTTAAAACACAGCTTTACAAACAATTTAATGAGTTCACAAAACAGTACTGACAGCAGTATCGAGGGATTGTGCCAGTGGGGTCCATGAGTGATTGTGAACAATGCAGAACTCTCTTTCTGTCTGGCCATCTGAAATATGCAAGATGCCCTCCTGGCAGTTTGCCTATGTAATGTACAAACATATTAAAACAATTTCAAACTTTACAGTGTACATTCCTTTTCAGAATAAAGAGTAACAGCACGTTAAATCTATGTTGTGTTCTGGGTGCCACGGTATAGATGACAGAGACTCAGTCCAGTTCAGAAGGTTTCCTCTGTATTTTAGATAAAGAAAACACTAAATGCTATGAGAGTGAGGCTGCCACCAAACATTCCTCAACTTAAAGCGCACAACTCTGTAGTATTCTAAATATATATTTTACAGGCAAAGTTGATGATCCAGATCTATAGAATGTCTGATGGTTTTAGTCAAAGTAGGAAATAAATATTTTATTATCTAGTTTGCTTAGGCATTGTACAGGATGCCTAGTTATTCTATATAATGCTTAGTGTCGGTATAGGTAAAGTGTGATAGACAGATTTTATTGTTGATTTTTATTTCATTTAAGGAATGTTTTTGGTTTTTTTGGCAATACAGTTTTTTTTCAAGCTCTTTGACATATTTACAGATATACCACTGAAAATAAACTGAATTTTATCCCAGTAAAATGCAGTTTTACCTTTACATTCTGATTCATTGTCCCTCAAAAGCAAATTTTACCATCAAAACTATCAACCTTTGGTCATGTTTTTATGTGTTCATTCATTCATTCAACAGTGCAGTTTAGAAGCTTTAGTCCTACTGTCAGTGACCACTGAGAATCACTGGTTTAGTGCACACTGGGGGTTTACACTTTACAGTTACTCATTTGGATAGGGCTGAAAGGGGAAAGGGGATATGGCTTTTTTTTGGTCTAAAACCATTATTACATAACATAACTTTATTTAAATAAATGTATATAACAGACACGTGCAGTATTTACAGTATTTTATCCTTACCATAAATACCTATGCTGAAGAAAATTTAGATTATTAGATTTTGGGTGGTCCCAAATTGTAGATTTTTGCTATTATCATTAGTCAAGTATTCTGAGAAAGATTCTGAAAAGTGTGTGAACTGTAGCAATTGATATGACCACTTGTGCTACTGTTCAGACACATGAGGCTGAATCAAATGATAAATACTAAACCAAGTTTCAGAAAATGTGCTGAAGCTAACAACTGAAAACTGTAATATCATTATTGGGATATTTTAAAGAAAGTATCAAGATATTCATATTTGTCGATATGCCCATGAAGTCCTCTCATCAATCCTAAATGTAACCTATTCTACTAAACCTTCTTTGGAGGCCCTACCAACATGTGATTCTTTAATTATACATAATTATTATTTGTATCTTGGACATTGTCTTATATGCCAATGCTAAAATTAATCAAATGCGTCAAAACGCTGCTAAAAAAAAGTAATGGGATAGCAGTGAGCAATGTGAGACATAGGTTAAAACTACCTGAAAAAAATCATACACATCTACCATATAGAGAATAAGAAAGGGCAAGGTGATTTACCAAAGACTGCAAACTGTTTACTTTCACTTTGACAGCGATTCTCTCTTTTGCCTAAAGGCCATTTGGGTTCTCAAGTTTAGTAGAGATTATTGGTTCTTTCCTACTTTGCCGGGCCATTTCAGGCATTCTACACTATGCCTGATTTTCAACTTTGTCTGTAACATGAATATAATGGGTTTCAGAAAACAATTCCTTAATGGTTTGAAGGACTTTGTGAAGACCTTTCCCTTCTCAAAAGATATAATATTTTTATTTGAATTGCTTAACTTCTATGATCACGGAAGGCGTTTGGCATTGCTCGAAACCAATGCTTAAATTACATTTCCAAAAACAACGTTCCAAGTTATCATACATGTTTTGCTAACGTGGCATTAACTTATTAACGATGATCAAGACGATGGTGTTAAAGTGTCACGCTTGCGAAATATGAAATGTACAGTAGATAATGTTGGTAAAAGTGATAAACAGCAGCGCGACCCATAAGTTAAGTTTCACTTGCATGTAAGGTTATAGCTAGTATAAACTTACCAATGTTGCCAGGAAAATAACAGTTAAAATGACAACACGTCCCATTTTCGTTTGATATGTTTCTTTTTCTTAAACTGGCAGTTTTCAAAACCCTTCGATGTGGAATAAAACACATTTAGGCCCTATGTCATCTTCGAAGCTGGGTGCTGTCTTCCCCAACTAGCTACTTCCTGTTTCGGCTTTAGACACATGACCAACGCAGCAATGGCAAACCACTAGAGAAATCCCCAGTTCAAGCAGCCATGCTTTGACTGTAGAATTCTACTCATGAAGCTGCCTGCATTTATTGAATTAAATATTGTAAGTAAGTTAAAGTAGGTATATCTGCATTAGTAGGACCACAAATATGCCAGTATATGTCCCGTTAAACCTTTTAATCAATCTCTCTCTTTTTTTTGTCTTTTTTTTGTCTTTAAATTTGCTACCCTTCCCATTACAAAATGGCCACCGCAATTACCATGGCAACAAAATCTACATGTTTCTAGCCTTTATTATGCCTTTAAATGTATGTACGTATGTACGTGTGTACGTGTGTGTGTGTGTGTGTGTACATATATAAAAAAAAATATATATATATATATATATATACACACACACACACACACACACACACACACATACATGTTCTGTCTAAGATGTATTATTCCTATTATTATTATTATTATTATTATTATGTATTTATTTATTTATTTTTTGCTGCTGAAAAATGAATTTTGGGATAAGTCTGTCTTATGTGCTGGACTATCTCTGGGGTCACTTACACCTTGGGCCTTGTCTGGTGTGGTAGATTTGGGCCTTGATTGCTCAGGTGCTCAAGGCCTGCTCTTGTTCAGCCAGGATACTTCAGACCAGCCCTCTTAAGCCATAAGTAAGAGTTCTTGATATAAGCCACTTCTGTTATGTTCCAGTGGCTACAGCAGATCCTAGTAGATCTCAGGAAAAACATCTGACATCTAAGTCCAGAAAAGTGTAGTATTAGGACCAGCAAAGATACTGGACAAAATCCTCAAGCTAGAGGCCATTATTATTATTATTTTTTTTTTTTTCAAGTACACGGTTTTCACCCTCACATTATAATTAAAGAGTCTGTGGCCATGCTTACTGTCATGAAGGCAAATATGCAGCCTATTATATAACTATCAATGACATAGTGAAGGTCTTTTTTGTATGTCTGCAGCTTGATAAATAATGTAATAATTTAAATTAAAAAAACATTTTAGATATTATGATTATGATATCATTGAGCATTAATATCCGTAAATCCTGTAGTGGAAAAATTATGCATATATCTTGATGATAAATAAATAATCCATTTGCAAAGCCCAGTGAGTTTTTGGAATACAGACAAAGGTTTATTTTTCTTTGTTACAGGAGATATGAACAGGGTCTAGGCCCTAGTCAGAGACCCACAGTGTCATCAGTATCCTCTCTCAGTGACCACTCCCAAGTCTCCTCTTTCATCTCCCCCATTTGAGCTCTAAATATTTATAAAGAAATACAGAGTTATGCACATATCAAAACAGAGTGTGCAAAGGTCTTCCTGAGGGTAGCTACAACTGTGTTTGCTGAGCCTTTACACATGCTAATGACTAGTTTGGTGACAGGTAGCAATCACTTTCATTTACACAAAGACACACTAAGAGAAATCTTTTCACAATATACATTTCCTTAACAATCCTTATTTGTGATGATGGTAACAATTCTGAAGAAATTACCTTAATCAATCAAATATTTTCTCTAGCTGTTTGGATCCGCTTTTCATCAAAATGAAAACGAAGACTTCCTGAGAGACAGTCTTTCTTTGAGGCTTGAATTAAGCCGGAAGAGCAAGGTGACTGTAAATAAAATGTTTTGGGTCAGCATGCTCTAAACGTGGGAGGAAAGAAATCACATTTTGCGGCTATGTGTCTTTTACCTGACATTCAACATCCATTGTATTTATTTACATAGACAGGCTAATGCATTTTCAGTCATCCAAGTCTGCCATTTCTGATTATTTATTTTATCTTAAAACAACATTAGCTATATTTCTTATCCCTATAGCCCCATAATTTTTTAGACTTTGTTTTTTTCCCCTACCCTAGTCCATGCACTATGCATAATAGCCTAATGACAACTGTAAAGTGATTAGATAATTATGTCTCCCTTTATGATGGGTGCTGCCCACTTATAACATCCACTTTTCACACCACAGGTAGAAATGAAACACACTTCATATGTGTCACAAACTCGCTCATGAACAGAAGATCTTGTCAATCATGCTGCATACACCAACAGATTACCAACATAAAAAAAATAAATAAAAATTTTAACCAAATGGAGGAATGATGAAAGTGAAACTGTTGCCATATCATAATTGTATTTATTTATTTAGCATATATATATATATATATATATATACCACATTATTAATTGATGTATGCAGACATATCTTTTTAGAAGTACAATGTTCAATTGGAGCTATTTATCAGCAACACAGTAACGTATACATTCATTTTGAATGCTTCAAGACCATCCGTTTGCCTTCAAAGCTATTGTGCAAGCTTCTCTGTTTCCCACCAGTCTGCAGATGGAGTAATGTGACCCTGCTTAGTCTATTGTTTTAGTCTCACAATTTAGTTTTCTTTGCGTACATAGAGCGGCAACTGCCCAGGACGTCTGACTACTCTATGCTGGAGTGCACAATTACAGATAGGTATGGACAGTTCTTAAGCAGCTTGTCCCTTTTGTGTTTTTGAGGCGGGATATTTGGCTTGTTCAGAGATAAGCAACAGAGTGAACCAAATTTAATGGGCAGTGTTTGTTGACTCATCTAAGCATCACTACAAAGCCTGCTATAAACAACTAAATCTGAGTGACATGAATAAACAGCAATGACTTAGTCATTGGTCACACTGAGCCTGCACACTGTCACTATTCTTATCTTTATTCGTTTGTACTAGTTTACTAGAACGTACATTTTGGTGCATATTTGTTCATTTTACTAGTTTATTCTTTATCTAATTAAATTGAAGAGTCAAGTATACAACAATTACTGCTTTATAGCTGCTTGTGAAGGGTTCCGACCAGGATTAAAATGTGTTGCTAATTAGCTGATGTGTTGAATACATGAGTGGGTAAGGCAAGGTTTCTAACCATCCAACCAAATGAAAACAAATAAAATAGAAAGATGTAGGCCTATGTAATTGTAGGCACTGAGCTAAACATTCATATGAAGACAGTGGCTGCAGGTATAATCCTGTATATATAGTGATTCATACATTTAAAGCTTAGCTGTAGGAATATAATTAACCCCTGCCATCTCACTGCCTTGACCTGTGTGTACAACTATCAGTGGAAAGAAATTACCATAGAAACAAGAGACTTGTCATTACAGATTTAGATATATGCACAACTGTATTTAATTTCTAGACCAAAAACATGACCCTGTAAAAATCTGGAACAAAGACAAAGCACCAACAAATAATCTACTGAACATTTTCCTTTTTTCTATTTCAATTTTCAATGTCACATAAATGGCAACAGCAAGTTGATCATCGTTGTATCAAAACTACTTACTGTAGCCACAAAATATGCAATACAAACAGTTACTTGTTTGGCACTGCCATCCTAATCGCTGAATTGACTTTCCTTATCATAGCCTGCATCATGTCCAATGCACTGGAAGAATGGCAATTGTGTTTTTTGTTTTTGTTTTTTTGTTTGTTTTTTTGCCATTTTCTGTGAATCATATGTTGTGTAAAGAATATTTTGTCTCAAATCTCCTTACAAGTTTTCTTTTGTAAGCTTGTTTCTAAATTGATACTAAGTCAATTTATTTCCAGTTGCGACGATTTTTACCCTCATTGTCCGTCCGTCTGATGCGGCGATAATGGGGGTTGCACCGAGGTGAGACCACTCCCCGAGGGAACATCCAGCGCCTCTCATTGGTAAAGACAACAGCTCCAAAAGAGTTCATGGAAGAAGCGCACAAGACGCGCACCAGAGCCGTAAAATCAGACCCAAGCCGTAAAGAACCCAAGCTGCAATCGGTACCTGCTGCAACCTCAGAGAAGACAAGGATGCAAGGAGATGACACTAAATAACTTATTTTTGCACTTTCATATTCGTCAATGACCTGCTCGAACCTGAACTTTTTTCTACCGTATGTTAAGGTAAGTTCAGCGCATGCTTCCATACCTTTTTATACCCTATTGTATAATTAAACACTATTAAGTTGTAAGTAACACACTGTAATTGAATTAATTCCGTTCCAAGCACATTTTATTTACTTCCATGAAATAATGTAGGCTAATCAGTGTCGTAAGAAATGGCAATCAATGGCATAGTGTACACAGTTAACTATACATTATTTGGTCTTGTTCAATGTTTTTGAGAATGTAAACGGGCGTAAATAACAGATCTCACTGGCGTTTTATTGAGTTTAAATGGTGATATTAATTGCAAATAGCATGACATATATAGTGATCCTGATTTAATAATCCTATAGCTGCACACCATGAGAAAATGCCTCCTCTCTAATATTAGAATATTAACTCTCAGTCTCTTCCAAACCTTCATGTTTCTATCAGACTGCATAGCAATGTGAAAGAGCCGTGTAAAGCCCTGCTTATTATTTCCTCTTGATGAGCTTCAGTATCCTATTTTGCTCAGCTCTGTACATCTGTCATCTCATTCCTTTAACCATCTCTGGGCAACATTCTCAGGAACTCTTGTGCTCCTCTTTACTCTCTATTAGTCATGCAGTAGACTACTTTCTACATTGCCCACTTCTCATCCCCTGACTCATTTGTGTTCTATCTGATTTTATTTGTTTCTAGCACAGCTGACCTTCATGAGGTTTGAACAGAATGCTATGCTGCACAAAATGAACACTACCATGATGACTGAGTGTGCAGTGAATATGTGTTATTTGATGACAGACCCCTCGCTCAACATCACTTGCGACTTTTCCTTGGCTCTCTCCAACTGGACCAATGGGACCGCTAGCCCTCAGCTGCCCACTTTCAGCACAGCAGCCAAAATCAGAGTCATCATCACCTTCATCCTGTGTGTTATATCTGCATTTTGTAACCTGGCTGTGCTGTGGGCTGCACACTGTGATGGCAAACGCAAGTCTCACGTCCGAGTCCTTATAATTAACCTAACAGTGGCAGATCTGCTGGTGACTTTCATAGTAATGCCAGTGGACGCCTTCTGGAACATAACTGTTCAGTGGCTGGCTGGGGACATTACCTGCAGGCTCTTAATGTTTCTGAAGTTGCAAGCTATGTACTCATGTGCTTTTGTCACTGTGGTGATTAGTCTGGATAGACAGTCGGCCATCCTCAACCCTTTGGCAATCAATAAGGCTCGAAAGAGGAACCAAGTGATGCTGACTGTTGCGTGGGGCATGAGCTTAGTGCTGTCAGTACCACAGGTCAGTAGAGGGATGCACCTAAAATTAACACGCCCATACAGAAAAAGTACAGCATTTGCACAAATATAACAAGAGATGTAAATAAAGAAAACAAACTCTAATGTTACAAATAACTGAAATGGAGCAGAATGAGTCAATATATCAACCATATGTGCTCCCTATTATGTTGCTAATTAAAGGCCACATACACATATTCATAGTTTCCATATGCACAGACAGACCTCAATCTCTACTTGGATCTTGCTTTCTGCATATACAATAGAGACAATTAAGATGATGGGAGTGTGTGGAACAGTAATTCTAATACCTTGTATCCTTTTCTCTTTAGCTGTTCCTCTTCCACAGTGTAACCATCTGCCATCCGGTGCACTTCACACAATGCACCACTCGAGGGAGTTTTGATCTCCAGTGGCATGAGACGGCCTACAACATGTTCACCTTCTCCTGCTTGTTCCTGCTGCCACTGGTCATCATGATCACCTGTTACACCAGGATCTTCTGTGAAATATCCAAACGTTTAAAAAGAGACAACTGTAAGTTTGTTTATTAAGTTCAATTACTTACATTATAAAGCCTACATCATAAATATGTTTTAGATCCCATTTATGAACTCTGATGTTACTGTACAATATTTATACCAACCTAAAAATTTCATATTATATTTTAGTGCCACCAAATGAGATGCATTTGCGATGTTCCAAAAACAACATTCCCCGAGCCCGAATGAAGACTCTGAAGATGAGTATTGTCATCGTGGTGTCATTCATTGTTTGCTGGACTCCATACTACCTGCTGGGCCTGTGGTATTGGTTTTTTCCTGATGACTTGGAGGGGAAAGTGTCTCTGTCTCTGACTCATATCCTCTTTGTATTTGGCCTGGGGAATGCTTGTCTTGACCCTATCATCTATGGCCTCTTCACCATTCACTTCAGAAAAGGATTGCGAAGGTTTTACCACAAGGCTGCTGTACCAACAGACACAGAGAATAACACAGTGATTACTGGATCCTTTACATGCAATGTTAACTCTTTGCAAGTGAAGAAGGAGGTAAGCCACAGCACCCCGGAGAGCTTCATGTTGTTGACCAATAATCATGTACTGCAAAACAATTCAGACTCAAAAAATGAGAGTGTCTTATGAAATACTGGAAATAATGCATATAGCCTAGCTGATTTATTTTAGTTGTCTTTTGTGGAGTTGTGTAACAATTAATAAACTCAACCCAGTATAACAAAATAGTGAGAATAACTATTATTACTATTATTATTGTCTTGTACAACTTGTACATATAGCTTATTTAGCTTAAAATAATTAATAGATTTTTTTGTGTGTATGTACTGTGTGCCTTTTGACACGCAAAAACATTGGCCGATGTCTGAGCTAAGATGACAAACCTCAGGACTAAGCCCCTTCCACATACAGCTGCACGCATATGGCTTTAAGTTGTTTTTTGAAGTCTTGAAGCTCTTGGCTAACCTGATAAGGCCCCTTACAGCCTATAATCACTGATGAGTCAGAGTGGACAAATGGAAAGTCCATTTCCATTCTGCAATACAGCAAATTAATTTTTGACAGACACAACAGGCCACTTAAAATAAATCATCATTTGCTTTTTTGACACACGCCTGTGTATTGATAAGATGTCTTTAATTCATTTATGCAGTGAAGGGCAGGTTATCATATAAAATGAAATTATTTGTTGAAATTTGAATTTATATTTATTTATATATTTATATTTGATTAATGGGTCAAAGCATTAAAGATCTCAGCCCAATCAAAGCTTTTCTGATTTTAATAAGGACTCCAAACACATTGAAATCCAAGACAGACGAGGGTAAATAGAAAGTTTGGGTCAAAACCAATAGCCTTGAATTGAGAACAGACACATTGGTTTGCTGTGGATTGTGGCTGAAGACATGTATATTGTCCACAGATTACAAGTGAAAAGACAAAAATTGATTTTAGTTAATGCTGCTACTACTAATAATAATAATTAGTATTTATTTTAAACATGTCTTCAACATGTATGTAGACACACATAAATATAGCCATCTCAGACAAGAAATTACAATATGTTTCTAAGTGTGAACACTTCCATGATACTAATAATTGATTCACCACCTGTTGGTAAGCTACTATTGTAGCGACAGCTGCCTTGGGATATATTGACGGAAGCATAGCTGCCAAACTGTGCCCACCATCCGTTACTCACATGCACCACATTCAAATTAGGTAAGGCAAGGCTGACTCTTAAGAAGAACATGGTGACAGTTTACACTGTGGCACCTGGTATTCCCAACTAATCACTCCCAGTGCTGCTTAGCTTCTGAGATCAGATGAGACTGGGCATTCTCAAGATGGTATGGCATCACTATTATTGTGAAGTGCAAACATGACAATTTTATAATAATCATACATCAGTGACCTTTTTTTTTTTTTTACCCAATTTTATATGAGACATTTTATACACACTAGCAACCAAGTCATCATAACTGTGCCTATGAAATCAAGATGTGTTTATAAAGATTTTCACAGACAGTTCAATTGGTTCCATACACTTAACACATTTTAAGCAACATTACTGAATAATAACACACCACATTGATATATTAATTTAAAGTTAGGAATCAATATTTCCACAGATTATTTTGTATATTTAATGAAAAATGTATATTCTATATATTCTCTTCAAACATAGTTTGTTGGATACCCTTGTTTTATCATCATTGATGTTTCCTGCAGCTCTCTCCATGTTTGCTTTATGTCTTTGGCCCTTTCATGTGCAGATAGTTTCCTTAAAGTACATTTAAACACAAGTAATCAATATCTGTTAAACTTAACTGAATAAAAAAGATACCAACCTGTCTTGTAGATGCTGGTTGCATAAATCGTTAAGTGTGACAAAGTGACATGTGTTCTGTTCGTTTGAGTCTGAGGGAGTAATTATGCATGGCTTAACGATTTCACACTCTCCAAAGCGGAAAATATAAAGCTGATTATTGCCATCTTCTGTAGAAAGAGGTTCCTTGACAACTACAAGTGTTTTTAATGTTACTGACAGTTTAGACAAATATTATAGATTTTTTTCATACCATACAGAATGTAGAATTTGATAAATCATGAAAGGTAATCACTTACGAGAAGTACATTAACTGTATTTATTTACCTTGGATGAGTAGAGAGTGGTGTTGGCTGTTAAGAGCAAAGACAGGATTGCAGGAGGTAGCGAGCGTATGGTTTGCAGGTAGTATCAAAGAGCACACATTTGTTTTATTGATGACATCTTGTAGGTACATTTTACCATTTCTTTGAATCACAAGTGTCTGTCCAACCAATAAAAAATATCAGCTTGTGACAAATGTATATTATTTTTTTAAATCATTTGTTTTATTACTACCAAGTCTTGCAGAAATGGCACAGCTGCAGTGACAATCGAGAGGTCAGCATTGTCTTTTGCCCTGTAGGAAAATAAGAAGTGTGAATACGTTGCATTCTCTGACTACTGTGTTAGTCAGACAAACAGATGAACGTGATAAATATATATAGACATATTATGTACTGCATTTTCAACCTTTCAGTCAATTGTAGCATACGTAATTCCCTTCCTCGTCCTATAATTATTACTGTATACAATTCTCCACTTTTGCACTTTACTAAAAGATGGAGCTTGGAGTCATCCACTGACACAGGACAGTAATCCACAAAATGAATCCCAAAAAAGGCACTGTCCACATCATACATAGACAAGACAGACACTGGAGAGCCTGTAGAACATAGAAAATACACAATATTTAAAAACAAATAAGATAGTTACTCTCTGTGAGCACTGGGGATACAAGGGGCACTTGTTTGTCAACAAAACTCAAATGTAACTATAATCTATATCACACCAGTTGTGACCCATGAGAAGATCACCATGACCCTATATCAGCAGTGTATCTGATAGATCTTGTCAAAGTGATGGACAATTGATTCACTTTGTGAAAGTGTGTTACTTCTTTAATGTATTGAATGTACATGTCAATGCATCATATGGGTTAAACAGTAACTAGTGGATGATAACAGTCTCTAATTTCAAAATAATATCTAGAAAAAGGATGTCTCAAGAGACATTTTATGTTTAGTTTTACAAATTTAATTTAAAATACTTATTCATATAAATTCAAAAACTCCGTGCGTGTGGGTAAATTGCTATTTTAGGTTTTCGTTAGAAGAAAAACAGGAATATAGAATCAAGCTTTAGTACAGACTTACCAAAGTTTCTGTCCCAAAGACACACAATAGTGTCAGAGAGACCAAGGGCTATGTAGCGAGTGCATTCACTGACCGCTGAACAAACTATTTTATTTGCATTTGGCCACAACAACCCAGGCAAACAATGAAAATCTGAAAAACACAAACATTTAGTTTTTCTGTTTCTTACAAATTAAAACCCAGATTGCTTGGTTCTACCAGATTTGCTTTTGGTTGCTTTTTGGAGCGAGTACTGAAGAAGATGTTTGCTATCACTCCACCACATACAAAGAGCATTAGGCAGGTCTACAAATTGAAATAAATAATGATGTCATAAATTGTAATATGGAATAGCAGATTTAATGCAGATTTTAGCAGATTTTAATGTTTAATACAGTATTTTGCAATGAATGTTTCTCCCTTCACTCTAGTCAAGACAAAGGGTTAATAAGTTAAAAGCCATGTTTCTGCTGTGTTCAGCTTTATAGTAGCACCAGGCAATTGTTTAATTAAAGACAATATCACATTTCACAGAAATACAGTGTTATTACCAACCTGTGTTTTCTTTTCTCTCCCCAGATAATGGCAGAAGAAAGTGTACAGTGCAGGCTCTAAATTGAATAACATAAATTAAGTACATTAATTTACACAACTGTCATAAAAATACATCACATGTCCATTCATACCTTGCCACACTACATTTTCCATCCAAGGCCAGACAATGTGAGTCAAACTGAGAGGGACTTTCTGAAATAGTATCTATAAAATAAATAAATAAATAAATATATATGTATATATATATATATATATATATATATATATATATATATATATATATATATATATATATATATATATATATATATATATATATATATATATATATATATATATATTATTTATATTTATATATTTATATATATACAGATATATAGATATAGATGTAGATATAGATAGATAGATATAGATAGTTGTCCAACTTCTTCACAAGAATAGGCTGCTGAATTGTAAACGTACCCATTACACAATGTAGTGGCTTGATTTTATTTATCACTGCAACAGGTGACCATTGGACTTCTGACAATATTGGGGAAATGGAGTCCTACCACAGAGGTAAAAGATATGGTGGCCAATGGTTGGTTAATGTATTATTTATTTCTGGTTGATTTTGTCTTTTTTTTTTTTTTTTTTTTACCTTTTTTTGAGAAATAGCAAATCCCAACTCCCTGAGCCATGATTCGGTTGGAAAATAAAATATTTCAAGCCAAACAGCACCATTGCCTATTAGGAAAAAAGTCTATTACCACACACACATAGGCTAGTGTAGCTGGCGGCAGGCCTATACTTGTTTTTTTATTTTGAGATGATAGCTTACTTACAGCTCATTGAGGCAATTCCATAATCTCCTCCTTGAGACACTTGAAGTGTGATGCAAATACTTCGATTGCTGATATCCTCCTATAGATGACAATTTATTTGTTATTGCATATGGAACCTACTATAACAGTCACAACACCACACAATGAATGAAATTAAAATTATTCAAAACACTGCAGAGATGAAGCACTAATAATACCATTATGTTAATGATCCTGAGAAGTTGAATGATTTCTGACCAAAATATTAAGATTCTGGCAACACCTGCAGAGGATATACAGTTAACTTGGGCAAGTTGTTTTTTAAACATTTTTGTTTATTTTTTTTATCTTCAGAAACCAAGCTCTGTCTTACCCATGTCATCAACTGTTCCCAGCAAGTAAGTGTTTTCTGCCACTTTTGTGATCTGAATAGCTGTTATTTCTATCATGTCTTGTGACCACTCTGCAACACATCGAAAAGAAGACGCACACCAAAGAGACAATCCTCTGGGGTGGCCAACACTGAGGTACTGACCATCTTCTGACAGTGCCAGGCAGGTGGCGTTCTCTGGCAGCTGGTCAATGATAACACAACAAACAGACATCTTATATATATATATATATATATATATATATATATATATATATATATATATATATATATATATATATATATATATATATATATATATATATACGGTGATTTACCGGATACACATCAGATGAGTTTAGCAGAGGTACTTCCATTTGCACATTCCTGCATCCAGCTTTTGCTGTAATGTAGCGTTACGTTAATATTTATCACCTATAGAACATATGCTGGCTAGCGTGGCTAGCGTGTAGTTGGGTTATACTGTCGGTCCGATTAAGGCTAAAACAACTTTGTAAAAGAAAAACAGTGTTTAATTTATGTTAGAGTGAATAAGGGTGAACAAGTTGACTCACGGATATCCGTTGTTCATCAAAATAAGCCTTCTGTAGCTTTCTGTTGATTTTCAGGTTTTGTTTACGCTAGCTACATCCTGCGAGCGTTGTCGTTGCCATGGCTGCATGGCGTACGCTGCACTCCAGCTGGAAAACGTGAACGCAGGAGACCTGCGCGTGTCGTACTATGTGCAACCTGCACTACGCCAGGCTTGACATTATGTGCAGGCTATGTTATGTCTTAATGGACAGTAAATATTAAGCCAGGCCGGGGACAGAATTTGAATTCGCAGAGGAGGCGAAGCACTAATTGAATAAATAAATGAATAAATAAAATAAATAAATATTATAGTGTTCTATGTCCTGTTAAACTAGTGCCCAGTCACTTTAACCTATTTTATTGACCTAGGGAGGGCTGGGCAATGGGAATCGGCATTTAGGTCCACATTTATTATAAAATTAGTTAACAACCCATTCATAATGAAAGTATTCAGTCAGTCAAGGGACATAATTACCATTTTATTTTAAATGCAACAATTATTACTGAGAAGTATGGTGGTGACTCAGGGGTGACTTGGTGTGATACTTGCATAAAATGGTTATAGACAGCCAAAACAATATGATAATGAGAACATTCAACATGAGAAAAAAAGACAAAACACAAAAACGAAAAGATCCAACTGTGCTGAAATATAATAGCTAATGGTGATATAATAAGGCGTTCATAAATACCTTAAGGCTCATGATAGGCCATACTGGATAGCATGGCATTCAGTAGAAGCAAGGGAAATGATGTGAGTGTATAACATCAGCCTGTCCCCTTAAGTGCAAAACAAACAAACAAAAAATCACTGGGCATAAATACACAGTCTGTTTAAAAGAAAACAATCATAATGTGTACTCTGGTCTACTTTTACGTAAACTCAACAAGAATTAGATGAAAATAATAAACTTTAAAAAAGTCATCACTATACACCATAAATCAGCCTAACAATTTTGGAGCTTTGAGAACATTAAGACATACCATTCCAGCTGACACCTATGTGGTAGCATATCAGTTTCACTGGGATATGATATGGATACATGAGTGTTATTTGGGTTCAATATTCAGCTGACTAAATCAATTTGTGGCACAGTTTACAATATAACCAATCATTGTTTCACCACTGTTCCCACTTTCAAGAACATTTCTTCAATACTTGTACATTTTTGGATCAGCATGTTACATTATTTCCAGCTAATGAAACCAAAGTGAAAGAAAATTGCTTAAATACATATCAGTAGTTCTAGAAAATACTTTCAGCAAGCACAAGAACCTAATAGCCTATATTGATATATAAACGATGAGCAAAGGTTTGTGTCAAAAAATGTAGCCAATCAATACTTAATAAAAGAAGTGCATTTTGGTTTTTTAAAATGTAAAAATAAGGACTGGTTAGCATCAGTTGGAGCTAATCATTGGCCAAAAATAATGATGTGGTATGAGTAGACCTCAGCCCATTTGATTTTTGCTGTGAAATGCTATTGCATTGGTCATTGTTTATACTGTGATGGGTACACATGAAGTGTTATCATTACATTTGGAGTAACAAAAGTTCATCAGAAATATGACATGCACACAATATAGATATAGACAATATTACAGTGGAATCTGAGTTAGAATGACAACACTCTAACAACAATGGTAATGGTCCCAACAAAAGCACTCTTTTCTTTTTCTTCATTAATCCTGATAGTCTCTAGTAGTTTGTGACAATGGGAATGCTGCTAAGAAGCCTGAGCTATGTCAAAGTCTGTGATGAGCTGTTTGATGTAGGAAAGTTTTTCATGAAGGTATTCACATCTCTTCTTCTCTTCTCGGTAGCCTGGGAACTTCTTTGAACATGAGCAGGGTTGTAAAAGAAAAAAAAAAAAATCAGCACAATTCTATACAATTCTATGTGGGAAAATGTGTATAGAATGTAGTTAAACTTACCTTTTTATACTTGCTATATTTTTCCAGTATTTGATCTTCCATTATCTACAAATAAACACACAAACACATGAACTATTAAAATACAAACTAACAACATATTTATTTCTCTAGCAGAAAGGAGAGATACTTGGATCTCAAAAGTTATGTAATTCATGTGCTTTTCATTGTAGGGCTCAGTCCAAGTGTAAGAAGAAGAAAAAAATTAAGCACTGAAAGAGATCCCAAATATTTAAAAGCTTTTATTATTAAAGGGCTAGTATGGTTCAAATTATGCAGTTTGCTATGTGTGTTTTCTGGTTCAGTTGCTCTTCTCACCAGCCAGCCCATAGTAACAGTGCCATAATTATGCTGGATTTGACCATCCTTAAAAAGTCTCACCAGGTAATTAGCAGGAGAGACATGCAATTTGCCACATGTAGAGTCCATCTTGTTACATGAACACCTGTGCAAGTGTGGCTGGCCAGTTTTAGTTTCTAACAGAAAATGTGCACCTTTCATTGTACCATCTGACCTCACATGTCAAAGAATGAGCTTGTCTAATAGGATTTTACTACTGCTGGTTGAAAAATATTTCATGGCATAAATAAAAAACAAAGGTATAGTGTACAGAACTGTGGCCACATGTTTTTCAGCTTACTTTATATTCCTTAGTGCCGGGAGAAAGACTTTTAATCTTGGCTCCAAGCTGAACAAACATGTGAGTGATGGTTGCAATCCTTGAGTGAAGGTCTTTGTACTCGTCATACTCGGCACAGAAATCCGCCTGGTACCTCTCACGCTGCTCCAAATTCATTATAGGGCTGTAAAGGCTGTAAAAAGGATTTTAATTATATGCAATTGTACCAAAATACTAATATATGTTGATACTGTCTCGTTACCTCCGCCAAGGAGGTTATGTTTTTGCCGGCGTTTGTCTGTTTGTTTGTTTGTTTGTTTGTTTGTTTGTTTGTCTGTTAGCAACATAACTCAAAAAGTTATGGACCGATTTTGATGAATGATTTTCAGGATTTGTTGGAAATGTGAAAAGGAAGAACTGATTTAATTTTGGGGGTGATCCGGAAGAAATCCTGGATTCTGGATCACTTTTAAATTTTAGTTAACATTGTGGTAAATGGGGCCAAAAATTTTGTTTCTCAGTATCTCGGTTAATTATTGACCAAACCCCATGAAATTTGACTCAGGGATGGACAATGGGATCCTCTTTCATATTCCAAAGGCTGATCCGGATCTGATCCAGAAGACTGATTTTATCGCAATTTATATAAAAAATGGGGGTAGTCCTTGGCGGAGGTCTGCGCTCTCTGAGTGCTTTTCTAGTTTTTTTTTTGTTTTGTTTAGTTTTTAAAAAATACAGTGCTTCATTTTGTCAACAGATGGCAGTATTAACTCACTAGTGTGGCAAGTTATTGCTTTCTGTTGCACGTTTGATAAAAAGTTCTGATATTTCAAATTTAAACAACACATTTTTATGGATAGAAGACTAAATAATTAAAAATAAAAATCCATAATACTAGACTTACAGAATGTAGTCTGGCTTCTCATCAGATGCAACCTCTTTTTTTATATCAGAATCTGAAAGATAAAATGTAAAAGTAACATAAGTACTACTCATCACTAGTTCGATATTGAGCAATACATGTTTGTTTTGCCAAAAGCTACAGTATAACTGCGTGTGGGTCCCAGGCTTGTGTCGACAAGCTAAGGGCCTGTGGGTATCAAGAGACATCTCATCTTACAGAGATGCACACACTGAAATGTTGTTGAGTCAATCAGGCGCATAACAAACTGAAGACTCAAGAGAGCTTCAAGGAGCAACCTGTGGCACTGCTTATGAGATAATACAGCACAAATGCACCAGTGGCCAGTGACACTAACAGCTGTTCACAGTCCACATACGATAACAATTACTGGCCATCTGAGCAAAGTCCTGTGGTTGACTTGTTTTTCTGAAGTGTAGTCAAAACAAAATATATCATAGAAACCACCTGACCAAAATAGCAGTTTGACCACATAATGTGTAAAAATAGAATTTTAAAACATTCTCACAAACAGCTACAAAGCCTGTTGTGATGTTAAATAAAAATAAAAAAAATACACACTGTACATTCTGTATTGTATATGCAAATGAAGAAAGCCTTACTGTCAAGTTTGTCCATGCTTTGCTTTAAATCAACACTGGTATCCAACCATTTGGCCGGATTATCTTTTAACCTCTCTCGCTCCCTGTCTTTATGTTTTTTCGATTTCTTCTTTTTGTGTTGGTAGTTGGCAAGCGGCTCATTTGTGCGTTCTGGATGTGCTTGTGTCCATGGAGAGCTGCAGATTTTGGGTTCTTGTTTCACTGTGTCTGCATCAGACACTTTGTGCATAAGTGGAATGCTATTAGAAGATTCCAGTGAATTATTTTGGCTACCAGTTAGATTACAAGTCCTTTGAAACTCAGTTTTAGTGTGAAAACTGGGAAGAAGAGAGGGAGTGTTCAGGTCCTGTGAAACGGGTTCTTGAGGGAGCCTTTTGATTAAAAGTTTTTGCCTTTTGGCTAAAATCTTCTCCTGAGAGCACTCTGGAGGCACAGGGCGTTTCTGTGAAAGCAAATAATAAAATTGTCTATTTTAATAAAAAGTGGCTGAAGATGTGAGTTTGTAAAAAGAAATAAAAGTATTCAATCATGTACCATATTAAGATTTTTCTTTGGGATCTGATGCAGAATTGGGTTTTCTGGACATATTTGTACTGATGTGGTTGCCTGAAGATTCCTTGACTGGCAACTGATTGGCAGCTTCCTAGTATTTGTAAATAAAAGTCAGAAGTACAATTTCTCATTTTTTTTCCATAGCAGAAATAATTCCATATTTTGAGTTTAGTTTAATATACCTGGCAAGAACTCGCCCAATGAGCTGTTTTTCATCTTCACTGTAGCCAGGCCAGTCCTTCTGCACATTCTTGTAGAAAATGTCCTGCAGGCAGTAGTTATTGTCTTTAGGATTCAGTTTTGCTACCTAAAAAAAAAAACAATAAAACAAATATATAATTATTTAAATATATATTATCTTGTGTTGATTCTGTATTCTGAGCAGTTCTTATATTGTAACATTGAGACGTGTTGGAAAAATATATATAATAAATGTGGTTTTATTACAACTGTGTCTATGTCTTTCCCTGTGCATTTTAAATAATTCATGAACACAAACTCTATGGTCTGCTATGTTTCTCTAAGGAGAGCTATTTGTCTTATGCTCCAGACAATGTGCACTGTCCCACTGTAGAGCAATCTCTGCAGGGACAATTACAGCTCTCACCTAATTTACACATACATAAGAATCACACACATTCACAACTTTCTGTGTAGATGTATAATATGCAACTGCCCGTTTTTAGGATCTGTAATGATCCTGTATTGAAAAAGGATAAGTATATATTTGTGTACTGTATTGTATATAGTTTACTCTGTGCATGCCCAATGCAGAGGAAAGGCGTTTTGTAGTATTTATATCATTTCAAATATTCAGGTGATTTTACTCATTATATTATAAGGAAATAGTTGTTATGATGAAGCAATTGTGTATTACTATACTTACTGCAACTGTAAATACAACATGAATTGATGAAATATTTATTGAATTATGTATTACAAATAACACATTCATTATACTTTACAATTTAAACACATAAATCTGCGTGGACCTCAACATCATTTATTTGATATACATCTGAAAATTGTGTACACTGTGTTTGTAGAAGTACCTCCTCTAATATAGCCCCCAGCTCTGCTTTGTCTTTGGGGCTGGCTCTCTCCTTCTCCAGCCACAGTAGCAGCTCTGGTTTCCGGTATGATTTTAGAGCCAGTAGGTGAATGATCCGCTCTCTTAAGCTCCTCGAGCTCAGCCCCGCTCCGCCACTGACCCGCCGGCTTGGGATGGATTGCTTCAGAAAACTACTGTCTGGCCCGGGTAATGACTGGACATTGCGTTTGGGGAACTTGGAGGACCAACCTAAGAGCATATACAGTATTACATTGTTTACCGACACAAGGTCTTAGGTATTTAGGTATAAACATAATTTATCACAAGGATTTGATTAAATTATTGTTCAGCCTGACATTTACAGAATGCCAGTGTATGGGTGAAAAACATGACATAATAATCTCTTGTCATGTCTGAACGAAGAAAGACAGGGACTCTTTTCATCAAGGTTGTCAAATATTAAATAACAAATACAATCAAGTTACATAACGTGCATGGCAATTGGCAAACTCTATTTAAAGCTTTTTGTAATTTATCATAGTTGTAAAGTGCTGATGACAAATACTGGTATTTCTGGAGCAGACAGGTGGGGCATGTCGCAGCAGTGAAAGCCATCCCTCGGTTCTAATCTCATTATAGGTTAATCTGTGCTTTGAAGGTCACAGGGGGGTGGGTCTACAGACAAAGCAGTCTTACCTTTCAACCACAAAAATCTCCTGCCAAGAGATAACAAGTCTATGCAGTACCCATATAGCATGTTATTTATGTAAAATCCACATCACTTACAGTGTGGAATGAATATGAGCATTGCTTAAAGCCTGAACTACAAATCACATTTAATTAACTGATTAATTATTAAATTCAAACTCATTCTATATTTTTATTAGGTGTTATAAAGGCCTAACCAACTTGAACCTCTTCTCTTGAATAGAGCCTATACCAGAAATTTCACATATACAATGCAAAATAACTAGACTAACTAATCAAAAATATTGTAAATAGAATGGAAAATTAACCTAAACAAATCATGTAATAGGCAATAAAGATTTATAGGTGATAGACGTTTTCATACAGGAAGCACCAAATCTGTCCAAGTCTAAGTAAAAAATGCTAAACAAAAATCACAGTAGCACTTAACCAGACTGAACATTGTCCACTATTACCTGGATGTCCAGGTTTGATCTCGATGACAGAGCGGTTCCAGCTGTCCTTCTCCACCTGGGACACACGCTCACGGGTCGTCTGGTAGGAGTCATCTGTGGCACACACTGTGATCTTGTCCTGAATGATGCCCTGGCCTTCCAACAGCTCGTGGCCATCACTGCGAAACATAAGGAATAGGACCATTAACTTTCTACAGTAACAATATAAAGCTACAGTGACAACTACTATACCACATGCACCTAAGTCTTTCAAGCATATAAAAATAAGATGTCAGGAATTCTAAGTACAAATCTAAAGAGCACAGTTTTGGCTTTAAACTGTTGAACTGTTGCATTAGCAGTTGGCTCACACAGACGACTGGAGTCAGACCTATTTGAGCTAAACCACAAGAGGCAGTGACACGGCAGAGTCCTCAGTTTCCATGCATAACCACTCAATAAACATGGCATCATAAGTCTCCATAATGAGAGGCTCTAGCCAAAAATATACAGGAAATTACAACTGCCCCTTCCAGCGCAGAGCAAGTAGTAAGTTAACTGTGTTTCTTGGAATCACAAAGTCTGTGTTATAATGCCACTATTTTATAAAAAGATGGGTAGAAAATAACACATGTAAAAATAGAGGAAACAGTAAAGACTAACCTTGATGCATATTGATGGATACAGTCAAAGCTGGCTTGAGGCTGATCCTTGCTGTCTGTAGACAAGTAGAAGGAGAAAACGCGGAGAGCAGTGGGTGCTTCTGATGTGGGAGCTGGGATCTTGATGTACTACAAAACAAACAAGCCAGAATAAGCCACATGTATTTTTAGTTTACTAATTTTTGTTTTATTTGCTGCACAGCTGTTAAGCAGTAGTGACTCTCATAAATGGAAAAAAACAGCCATAAAAAAGTCACACCCCCAACTAATAGGAAACACACTCACACAAGACCTTGGCAGTAGAATGAACCCACTTTATCAAAACAAAAGATGGTTTATGACCTTAATTGGACACTCATATGATAAGCAGTGTGGATTACGTCATAAGAACATTAGGGTAGTGTATAACAGTGTAGCAGTAGTTTCATAATGGCCATGTGCGTATGCAATATTAAAGTTTTTTTTCCAAATCAGCCTCACTAATATTTTTTTAAGAGAGCTTATTGAAATATTGCTAACACCGTGAATGTTGTTCATCCAAATTCAAAATTTTGAGTATACTGTTCATAATCCAAAATGCAACAAAATAAATGTTTAAACTTCCTAATAAGGGTATACATGATATTAGACATTAGCCATGTATGAGTAAGTTTACAGTTATTTCACATGTGCCTGATATGTAAACCTCAATAGCAAACAGACATGTTTAGAACATTACTGTTGGATTACCATCTTTCTTTCTTTCTTTTTTATTTGTCAGGGTCCATGAACACATTCATTAATCTTACAAAACAAATGATTATTTGTACCAGATTTACCTGCTGCTATCATATTTACCTACATAAAATATTACTATCTAAATATCATTATTGGGGTACTAAAAAATATCACCCACCCCTATTTGTCACTGAAGTACAATCATACAAAGTAACACAGGTGTACTTACTTACTATCTACACTTCAATCAGACCTGTGTGCAAGCTCACACATGCCTTCCACTTTCACAACTCAACATTTAGACAAGTTTATGCTTCGGTGTTTTTTCACTAGAGTACAGAGGAGGATAATAAAAACAATGTGTCTTGGTCTAACTGTTTGTTAACACTGGATTTGTTTTAAGCTGAAAGTTTAAATTTTAACTGCACAATCCCATAATACACAAAGTTAATTAAAAGCCTTTTTGAAACCAAAGTAAACATCAGAAAGCATGGCCTCCAGTCTTCTCCATGCAATAAGAAAAAATTAATAATGCATGTAGTGTGTTTATTGAATTCTGTAGCGGGCTCCCAGAGCTCCAGCTGTTTTAAATACCCAGTCAGGCGATGCACAAAGACAGTGGCTGGCATTGGCCACTCCTGGGCCTCGTGCACAGGCAGAGCTTTGGATCCCTGCTGTGTAAACTACAACACAGTCCTGTCTTTCTGAGCCAAAGGGGGCAGGCCACAGTCTGACACAGTCGCCTCGCCGACAATAGACTGACTGCATACAAATTCAACTCAACAGAAATTATCACATATTTTTCTTTGCAGCAAAATGGTCACAAAATACATTTGTTTTCTATGATTCATCACTTCAATGTAAAACCTATGCTGTGTAGAACAAAGATGCACAGACAAAATGAGAACTAAATTTTAAATGAAGTTGTTTCCTGGACACTGATCAATATCTGTGGTTATATTCAGTGACCCCAGATGTCAAAGGTGAAGGTTGAGGAGTTAGAGACTGAGACTAATGACCTTTTATCCCCCAAAAGTCATCTACAATCTAGTCACTGCTCTGGGTAACTTTGTTGGAAATACTTACAAATTAATAGACCAAATAATTTAATAGCTGACTAATAGCTAATGTTGCAGAGTGTACTATGACCATCCAAAAGAAGAGGTCATCAGAAGATTGATCAAGGAAATAAAACTATTTAACTTACTTTCTTTGCTCCTCTCTATTATAGCTGAACTAGGACTGGCGCAATTGTTCTTTGTCACTTGCAAAATTCAGCACACTTATTCCCAAAGGTCGTTCTAGCCTTACTCATTATGTTATAAATTAGCTCAAGAATTTCAACTTTTCAACTCAAAGGATGATGCAAACCAAACTCAACAGCAGTTTTAGCTGAGTTGCAACTTGCTGTTTTTATCACAGCCAAAGTAAAACCAGAGGAACCAGAACATTCTTTGGTGCAGATATTAATATTCATTGCTATGCATGTTTGGTGCCAGTCAGTGCACAAGAAGCCTAGAAAGTTAAGCAGTTTATCGTCCCTGTTTACAATGCATAATGGACCATGCATAAACTGTTTTGATAACACATCGAACACATGTTAACAATTTATGTTTCTATTTGATTTTGTCTAACAGTTATATATTGTCTTTCATGTCAACCTAAATGAATAAAAAGTGAATAGTGGCAAGTTAAGTTAAAGCTGCTTTATAATTGACATTTTGGTAATTAAATTAACAACAAAAGGTCATGTGAAGGGCTGATCTCAAAGGTTAATTTCAGGGTTGTTAAAAACATTAGATATGGTAGCATAGTTCAGTTGATCATTTCAGCTGTTTGGGAAAGGCCCTGTCTATCAAACTATGAAGTTGATTGGAACAAAAAGTGTGAGAGGATTGTGACGGTGCACAGGGTTTGTGTTTCCTGGTAGCACTGGGTTGAATGTGGGTTTGGGTGTAGATCTGTTGCAGGCTATTGTGTTCATATCCTCTGCAGCCTCAGTCATGTCCTTCTGAAAACAGGCGGTCTTTTGTTTGGCCTCCTCTGCTCCAGAGTGGGATGCCGTGACACTGCTTCCCCTCTGCTGGCCGATAGGATGGGAGGAGGCTATAGTAAAATGTGTCACTACTGTTAGAACTAACTCTCATTAAGGGGGCAGGTCAGGCTTTGGATACACCCTGGGCCACAATATGGACATAACAATGTGTTTATTAGTGTTACAATACTACAGAAACAGAACAATAAACTGACTTATAAAAGGTTTAAGAATATTATTTTAATTAGACAGTTTCTACTTTCAAGCAAAACATAAACTAATAAAAGTTAAAAAGGAGCAAGAAATATGAACTTGAATTTAATCTTCTCACAGTATCACAAAGCGTATGTCACTATGGCATTGATTGATTTTTTTGTCTTGAGGTAAAAAATATGTCCACTGTGTGCTGTATAAATCTAATTTAAACGTGTTTTATTGTATGATAATCAGTAAATGCATGGTAGCAATGCTAGCTGTCATGAATAATTAGGATGCAGGGAAGGCATAGGTGAGAAATAACTTTGGACCACTGCAAACCATTTAAAATGAAAATGAAATGATATTTTCCCACATTTTAAAGAAAAAAAAAAACAGGTATAGCAACTTCAGTTTGCTCATTCATTATTTGCTTATTACATTTTCAGTTTTTTGCAAGTACATGTTACTTCTAAAAAATACTTATCTACAAGAAGTGCAAAGTACAGTGTGACAATCCACTCTTAAAAGTAAAAATAGCTGATTAAAGGTAATTAACTCAACCCACCTCCAGATAGACTAGTGGTATTACTAGAAATTTTACAATAGTGATTTTACTATTGTGTCCAAAAATTTACCAATATTGAGCCCACATTTAATAAAAATAAATGAATAATGCAAAACTAATGAGTGGGCCGAAACAAGAACAGGTTTGTGGATGGAGCAGAGCCACATGCACGTCTAAACAGGCAGCCAGCAGCCTCCCTCGTCCTCACCACACTCCAGTAAACACTACTTCTCATCTTCTCTTCACAAACAAAAGAGACCAATGGTTCCCAGGGCCACAAGTTGACACATGCTATTTAAGACAAGTCCCCTCCACAATGACGGATAGCAATACAAAACAACACAAAGCATGCCTGTGTCTGTGGCTCCGCTGCAGACTGGGAGAGAGATGGGGGCGGCATAGAGGCACAACAACATATACAAAGAGTGGCGAGAAAACAGATTGGTTAAAATACGTTTTTATGATCCAGCAGTCAATCAGTCAACACTTTGAGTAATGCTGTGTGTTTTTCGTTCGCTGGAAAAGCCATGATTAATGTGGCTGCCTTAAGTGGGAGACAGTGCATGTAATCAAGCCCCGGCCTGTAATCACCTTCCATTTATTTTCATTTGCAATTTCACAGTGGGACATAGGGGCACGCCAATGTGTTGCCTGGGCTCCACGCTAAGTGAGAGAAGGTGACAGAACCACAAGAAGTGGCATTCGCTGAACAATCAGAGAACTGAGAGTGAGGTATGCACCACAGTGGGATTTGTAACAATGTATGATGAAATTATTGAAAACAGTGTAAATATGTGAGTTATGTGATTATCTGTATTTGAAAGCTTATGAAAAACTATCTACACTGAGTAAATGTTGATTTAGTTGTAGATCACAGCAGAATGCTGTGAAGTAATTCTTGATATTCTTCTAAGTGGAGCGATTGGGTTACTCTACAAGTTTCTAGCAAAAGATGAATGCAGAAGATGCTAACTAAAACAATTGTGTCATGCATTCTTGCCTTTGAAAACTAAAAGAACAAACCATGACAAAATGTTTCCATTAGAATACAATTTCTTAATGTATAAAAATACAAGCTTGTTTGTAACAGTTTTGAAATAAAGAAAAGTTAAGAAAATATTTTGTGTTTTTTCTCATATTATTAACATACAGATACCATATTCCTAATTCATTCTGACTTGATGTAAAATATTCCACAAATCTTTCCCTGCCTAGACCACAGGCATTAAGATCTTTAACACTAGTGCCAAGAAGATAGGTCTCTGGCAGGTGCCTAAGGGCCAAACTGTCGTCTACAACCAATCGTGTCAGACTAGTAAAAAGCCATTCATTCTTCCCAACCCCCCTGATGCTGCAAGACTGATTCAGAAAACAAGTGCCCTTTATATGCCTCATTAGCTTATGGTGGAGATTTTTACACCAGGGAATTAGACCTATATCTATCTCCTAGCCACTGAAAACAGATACAGAATACATTGGTCTAAATCTGCCATGAGAATTTTAAAAGCATGGTCTGTAATCCAAGCTGGGCAAAGATTTCCATTCTTGTAGCAAAGTAGCACATAATAAGCACCACTGGTATGTTGCTCTTTATGGTCACGGGGTAAACAAGATGTGGGAGAAATACTTAAAAGAGTACACACTATGTGGCATTCGATGTAGGTTTAAGCAAGTTAAAAGTTGGTAGGTTAGTAGTTACCATCAGAAAGTATATCTGTCTGGTCCTTTTTGAGGTTACAAATTTAACTTTCAGCTAATTCACAGTATATTAAGTCTTGAAAGGATGGTTATTCTAATGCAACCGTTTCCATTTGTGCAGGCTTTTGTCAGCACAGATAACAGCATATTTATTTATGTAAACAAGCTATAAAAATAATCATTTGGTGATTAAAGATTTCAGACAGCACTTGTCTTTCAAGCCATTGGAATATTGAGGATCTGGAAATAATAAATCGACGTGTGCAGTCAAAATACCTTGCATTCTTTAAAAAATGTGTCAGAAAGAAGCTGTTATGAAAAAGAATACAAATAATTCTCCACAGTGGTCTGGGGAAAGTTACTATGAGCAGATAGACTACAACAGGCAGAGGGCGCAGGACATGCGAAAAGGAGGTATCCAATGAATAAATCATCACTGCCTAGGGGCCACACACACACACACACACACGACAATGTCAACACAACACATATCCAAATAACAAACCATATTATTTTAGTTTTACACCTTCAGCATACACTGTCTCATGACTGACTATACACATCTAAGCATGTCCGTAAGGTAAAGTAAGCAGGTTGGAGTTAGAGCTATCGCCCTTGTCATTAGAGAAGGTAAAGTGTGCCATAGCTAAACTCCTGCTTATGGATGTCTGAGTCAGCCAGACAGAGAAAGCTAAAGCAAACTCAAGTTGTGATGCCTCATACTCTAATTACAAGCATTATAGCACACACAATTATGTCTATAAACATTCATTTAGATAATAACTTTAGCTCCTCAAAGATTATTGCGATCAGGGGAGAAGCAAGAGATTCCAAGCCTTGCAAAATCAACAACTGTCGCTGAATATGACAAGGGAAACAGCATATCAGGAAATTAACAAAAATATCTAAGCTACTGTGAGTGAAAATGTATTTTATTTTTCCTGCAATTTTTACTTTTCAATATTGTGTTTTGAATTATTAGATGGTAACCTGTACTCCGTTACTTTGATGTCATTTAAGTTAATGCTATTTGGCATCTTACCTATTGCTGGGCATTTAATCCAATTTTCAAATTCTAATAATTTAAAATCATCAGTATGCTTGGGGCTATTTAACTGAGACATCTGCATCTTATGCTTTGTAAATAAAGTCATGTCGTTTGGAGCAAACACGGAAAAAAGTTGACTAATTCTATTTGTCTTGAAAAAATTAAGTTGAATCGAAAATCAAGATTGTTTAAAATGATTTTTAAAAAGCATATATTAATTTTGCCAGCCCCTCAGAAGGATATGTAGTGATTGGAATTATAGCAGAAATGTAAAGAATGGTAAATGGTCACATTTTTCTATAGCGCTTTTCCACCTTCAAGGCACTCAAAGCGCTTTACAACAAGGAACCACTCACCCATTCACACACACACATTCACACACCAGTGTACGCAGACACTGTGGGCAAGGTGGGTTAAGTGTCTTGCCCAAGGACACAACAGCAGCATTCATCTGTGGGAGCTGGAATCACACCAGCCAACCTGTGGGTCAGTGGATCTGATCGCTCAACCTGTGATGTTTATGTCGAGAGCTGGATTTGAACCGCCAACCTTTAGATCAGTGGGCAAATGCTCTACCAACTGAGCTACTGCCGCCAAGAATAAACAGTTTTATGCAGGGACAAAATACACACACAACTGTGTAACTGTCAAATCATTGCTCTCAAATGAAGCTCATTAAGGTATATGCTTATTGGCTTAAGACTTCTACAGTACAGCAGAGTACGAGCAGCTGGTCATTCACCGCAGTGCATGACCTGAGGGTCTTGGGTCATTTTGAAGGGTTATGTTCAGTCATTGACCCACTAGTTGTCATAAAGTAGAGTTTTAAGGGTTAAAGAAGGCTTCTTACAGAGGTCTGCACTGATAAACTGACCACTAATCATTTCCTTCCAAATGGCATTGTGGTAACTGTTATTGTAAAGTGCCATTAGCAATAATGAAAAGATATAGCAGTAAGGTCTATGAAATAAATAACATCCTCAACTGCTGTTTTGGGGTTATATGAAAAATATAAATATTGAGCATTTTGTCTAATTTAAAAAAAATCAAAAATAAAAAAATCAAAGACCGCAAAAGGAGATAAAAATATAAAGAAAAGAAAGACTTTCAGTGAGTGTGATCTTGTTAGTTAGGATAAATAGTGAACATCTTCTGCATTTCTCCCTAATGCTACTGTTCATTTAATCTTTTGTACAATAAGGAATGAATGAGTCAATCAAAACATTTAAAACCACATTTCTGGAGGGTTGCCATAGTCTCTGAAATATGGATGAGGTGGAGAATATTGAAATGAATATCTTGACTTAAAAAATAAATCTTTCTTTTATTGTCCTGATGACTATTACAGTGTTGCAAGACTATGACAATCTGCTAAATGAGTCACTGCTTTATACTGTCTGCCCAATAAGTTTGCCGTTCCCAAAAGTATAGAATTTAAAATAATTAATGACTTTTTAATTTTGACTTTGGCCCATTGCTGTTTCAAAAATGTATTTTACAATTGAAGTTTCATTTTCAGACTTCCCTAAAACTTTAAAGTACTACTTTAAGGCATATATATTTGGGGATGTTAATATTATGTAAACTAATACCTCTATCTCCAGGTTTTGAATTGGACTGATGACAATACTTCTTTGCTTCCTTCCCATCTCTCTCCAGCTCAGTCTGACATAACTAAGCTTCTCCACACTCCCCAGCCTGACCCAGTAACCTGTAAGTCTCCAGTCTGCAGGAGGCGCTGCCTTGAGCCCTCTGACCACACTCTGAAGAACCCTGCTCTGGAGGGCCGTGTGGTCTTTAATGGGCCATATAAAGTCTTTCACGAAATGTAAAAGTTCCATGTAAACACTAGTTCAAAGTATCTTGTTTCACTTTACACAATAAATTGGAATGACTTACCCCTTGACTTCCCTTGAAGCAAATAGATGGTTCACAGTGTATAGATCCCTGATGAGGAAACAAACACATTTGTTAGTTACGCGAGTTATTATCAGACACACACCATTGCAGTGTACACGTACCGTAGTTACTCAATCAGTAGCTTAAAGTCTGTGCGCCCAAGCTGGTTTAAAATACAACTTAGCCTACTTTTTAATGAGATAACAAACTTTCGCCTATTCGCGTTTTCCCACAAAAGAGTCTTCCCAGAAAACTCTCTTTGGGCACGTCCTTCCCGACAATGACAGGGTTAGGTCGTGGAATGCGATGCACCAAAGTAGAGTAATGCAGAAGTCAGATTCAGGGCTAACCCAGCCACAAGTAACTGTAAACGAGTGTGCGAGACAAGCAGTTATTTATTTATGTTCCACTGAAGGAGAATGGTTGGTCTGTGTAACAGTTTTATAAGTGGATACTCTATAAACGATCAGTAAAACACATCAGTACTATCTTAGCTCGTTTGAACCAGTTTATAAAGACTGATGACAACTTTGACAAGTGTAAATTCAACTCATGTCATATGTCACGCACAACAAAAAGAAGTAAGCTACCTTAATATTTTGGAAAGCCTCCAGAGCGCGTAAAGCGGAGTCCGTAAGCTTGACATGGTACAGCGTCCTACTTGGGTTGTTTTTGGTGATCTTTCCACAGGAGAGCCCATAGTGCTGCTCTTGTCGGAGCGAAGCCATCTCTGGCTTTACTCGTCTTGCAATTAAAGCTGCTTTGCTCTTTCTGCGCTCAACTCTGGCTGCTGCGTCACGCTGAGGGCGGGACCAGGCTGACAGGAACGTGAGGTGCGTGTGTCTGACTCACCCTGGCTCCGACATAGACCAATTAAAAGCTTTATTGTGTTCCTTTTGCTTACGACGCTGTTGTACACATAAACAACACAACTTGTACTGTTATTTCGGACAGTACGTTCCCAATATATCTGTGGGATTGTAAAACTATTAGGTTTTTTTTTACAACAGGCTACAGGGAAATCATTTCTTTGACATCTAGACCTATGTTAGATTTCTCAGTGAACATAGACCCTTTCTAAAACTACATAAAATATAACATAAACTGGCAAACATAGGAAAATTCTCATTGTAAATAGACTGCTTTGGTTGTATTTAGCCTTGTATTGTCTGTCCTTAAGGTCCCTTTAACTTGTTTCCATTGGGTGTGCAAGATGTATTTTTGCTTAAATGTCTCACACTAGCCGAAATGTTTGCCTAAGAATGATGGACGTGATATGGAGCCTGAAGTAAGTAAGTTGAAGCCAATTTAGTTAAACAGTAGCTAATCTACTCTGTGAATGAAAGTAGCAAACAGCAGGGAAGCAGTTTACTAAAGGTCAACATTGAACAGGTGGCACTAAATCAAGGCATGGCTCCCTTTAGCCTCAAACACGTATTATAACAGTACCATGATATTAGCATAGGCAGTATATAAAAATGAATAGAAATAGAGTTAACTTAGCACTACAGCAGTGGGGGATTAGTGGCCTCACCCTTCCTGGTCTTTACCTGTCTTGTCCATTGTGTTCACTTTGCCATCTGCTGCATGAGAAGCTCTTAATGCATGGACCCCAGGGACTCATGCTTCACACCTGAGGTCAGCGACCCCATGTGCAACTGGCAACAAGCATCATGTTCACTGCCATCTATTGTCCCACTGTTTGTCCAAAGCTTCATTTAAATCTTTAGGTGTTACGGGTTGAGAAACAGGCCCAAAGACTTACAAAAACATTCACATTATATTCTATAGCAAAGATTGTTCTAAAATATGGCTTGATTTTCCTATACTGGATTCTACATCTGAAATATGAACTATATGCACAATGGAAGTTGTAAATACTAGTCACATACACTGTTCATTTGTCAGCTGTTGTAGCATCACTTTATATCTGACACTATTGTTGACAGAATTAAAACATTGTTCCTTACAATAAAATTCAGCAGCTTCAAATGACGTGGACAAATGTAAAATGTAAAACGGTAATTATTAAAAACACAATAGACAAGAATTTCAGGACAGTAAAGAGACAAAGTCTAGATATTTTGAGAGAAAGAATGTCTTAACCTAAAAAAAATGTACCGGGGACTACAGGTGGAAATTAGCTCCAGTGCTACAACCTGGTACAATGCATCTCTCCTGTTAAGGTTAATGTTTATTGTGCACTGTCCCTGTCTCATAAATAAATCATAAATACACTAAATAAACTTAAGTTGTGTGTAATTCCACATCCAAAACTTCACCATAACACTGTTGTATGCTCCTCATTTAAAGTGAGCATTAACAGTGTTTTGCTTGTCTTGTTTGTACAGCTCTACATTGTCTTCTGTACATTGAGTGTGTTGTTGTTTGTGTCTGCGCCCTGACACAGGCAGACCCTCTCTCTTGTGTGTGTGCTGTTGCTAAGCAGACCCAGGTGTTTGGTGTTTTATTGCGATCTCAGATCCCAGTATTTTACAGCCACGATTTTTACAGTGAGTCCACAGGTGTGACTGATCTCTCCACGCATGAAATGAGACGTTTAAACAAGAGCAGCTCTGTGTAACCTCGTCCTTAAAAAACCCGCGCAAACTGGATCGTGACTATGTTTTCTCAGACAACAATCAGACATAAAGCTTTCACTCTGCTAGTACCCCTGTGTATTTTAATTCAGTTGATTAAAATGCTCACGAAAAGTGACACCTGCTATCATTTAGTTCCCAGTAACTCCCTGCACAGTCAGAATTAAACCAAAAAACTGTTTTTGCAGCTTATAATAATTGTTATAATTAGGTAATTTTGTGATTGTATCAGTCTGCCCATGCAAACCACTGCCCACAATAAATGGACTATTATAAAAAGCGCCACCGTGGCCATTGGGATGAGCACTATTGGACAGAGTGTTCTTAAGAAAAGGACACAATTTTAACAGTGACAAACAATGTTTATTAATATATATAAATATATATAAAGACACTTCTCCCTTATCACATTATATTTGCACTTAAAAAGAAAGTAAGATGGCACAAAAAATAACATTAAATTATCACTACATAAGTGACCTTCTATGGAAATAAGAATTGTTTTAAACACTGTGGGTTAGCCCCATTAAAGAACATTGTAATGACCTTATAAGTCCAATATCTCTTATCTAAATTAAATTATAATTATCTAAGAGCTGAAAGGCTCAAAAGCTGAAAATGTCCTAAATGCATCCCAAGTACCAGAAACATAAATACATTGTAACACATGTAATACATGATAACATCAGTCACTTTCCACTCTCATTCTAAAATAAGATATAATGGTAAAGGCACCAGTGCATTTTAAGCCTTAGACAATAGATAATTGATCTTAAAATCATCATATTCTTTATTTTGTACTTGGGCCATGGGTGATCTCCCTTCAAAGTCAGCGTGCTGGTGGTGGATCTGCAAAGGAGTCTATCTATGGCGTTTTTATGTCTTTATTGTAATAGTCATTCTGTTTGGTCTGCTGTTACTGATACTGTGTTCTCCTTTATCTGCAGTTTTATGGGGAGAAAGGTGTACGGTTATTGAGAGGGGAGCTGGTTTCCCTGGCAGCCCTTGAGTCCTGCTGGATGACTCACAAGGCCAAAGACGTCATCATATTCAGGCTAAATGCTATTGCCACAGCTGCAACTGTGAAAGTCACCAAATGGAGGAGAAAAACATGATCCAAAGAGGAAGGACAGAAATGTGTATGTTTGGTTATAGTTACCAGTCACTATCACAAGGAATGATATAACATGCCACACTGCTGCTCTATCAGGCAGATTGTCTGACCCAAATACATAATGATTTTAATGATCAAATTACAGCTTTTAGTCCATTGTTAAAACCACTTAAAGGTCCTATATTATGCAAAATTGAATTTTAAGACATGTTATAATGTTGTAACCTCCTCATAAACATACCTGGAGTTGTGTTTTGTTTCATTCTCACATGTAATCCCATTATTTGTCTGTCTACATCTCCAAAGCTCAAAATACATTCCTTCAAAACTCTGTTCATAACTGATGAGTTGTTATTGCTTTACCTGGAATGTTCCACAGTATGGCATTAAATTGATCTGCATGTATTTAATTGCAGGTAAACAAAAGAAAACTCTTGAAAAAGATGCATTCTTCTTACTGTGAGCAGGCTTGTCTCTCCATAGTTTTGACCTGTAACTTGGCCTTGGCCTTGTCCTTGCATTCATGGAAATTTAATGCCCTACTGTGAAAAATTCTAGACAAAGCAATAGTTTTTTATTTTTTTTTTATTCTGCTTTACTGATTGCAGCTCAGTTCTAAATAAATAGTTTTGGAAGAATAAGGTTCAGACAAATACACAACTTTAGTAGTCTGCACTTAGAGAATCATGACACTATAGACCTATGTTTGAGACAGTTTCTGTTTGGGCAAATTGTAGGTGATAACAAGAATTTAAAGGATTATAAATTAATACATTGATAGTTTAAAGAGCACAGTCTAATATGTGCAGAGTAGGGGTAGTGAAGGTGAGGATTAGAGATCTGCTTTCCAAGAGGCCATGTAGTAAAAGAGGACATGAATTTACTTTGGTGTGAAATAAACAGATGTAGAGGAAATGGTTGGGGAGACACACAGACAGACAGACAGAGACACAAAAATAAGTCAAAGTTAATTTATAAATCCAGATGAGTTATTCCCGTGATGTGGCAGTTGACTCTAATAAAGGAGACAAACTTTACTTTCACCTCAATCCTATGCATAGTGTCTGTTTGGCCAAAAGATCAACATGTTAAGAACTTGATGCGTCTAATTTGAGCCTTCATAATATTTGTCTGTATGTGTCCTCACAGGGACAGGGTGCACTGGATATTTGTTACACTGCAGTAATGGGCTTACAGTACATGAGTGCTGCTCTCTTTGCCTCCTGGGGCTTTAGCTCTAGATGGAACAGGCTCTCCCCAGAGCCCTGCCTTTCTGCTAATTGAGGCCCACTAAAGCCTGGTTGCCATGAAGCGCAATCCCACAACGAGGTGCTACTTTTAGTGACCGTCCTTTTGGGAGAGACAGTAAAAGTAAGTTTGAAGAGAATATTTAGATTTATCTTTTTCACAGTATTACATAAAGCTATTAATTTTGCATCTTATGAGAATTAAACAACATTTTGAACAGAAAGGCTTCATAATACATGGACATCATATTATAATTATATGACTTGTGCTATATTTTGGATAGGCCAAATAAATTCAAGTGTAGAATTGCATACAGTCTTTTCAGGAGCACTATGTACATCAGAAATCTGAACTTAGTGGCCTGGCTTCTGTCACATGAGCCAGCTTTTGCTCAGCAGTGTCCCTGTCTTGTGCCACTTTGGATATAAATGAATGCTACAGACTTAAAAAAGGCTCTGGTTTGATTTAGACATTATTGCACTTTTGGTGTTGAGTGCTGCAGAGACAGAGTTACTTTCAGCTGGCAGCCAAGATGATTTAGGAGGATGGAGACAAGACGGTGTAGCTTATTTTAGGAGAGTGTTATGTGCTGAGTAAATATTTTGTGATTTTTTTTTTTGGGGGGAAGTTGGGTTTGGTTCCATTGCTCATTATGTACCATTATCCACTGTCCCCTTTTCATATGTTTTTGTAGCAAATATTTGGACAAGCTATTTGTTCTATGACAGTATATTAACAGAGGGTATTTTAGGGCTCATAATATGTTATTTTCTGCTATATATAATGTTGTTTCTTTATCAAAAACATACCCGGAGTTGTGTTTTGTTTCATTCACAAATGTTTAACACACAAATCCTGCAGATTTAGGCTGAGTTTGTCTCTCAAACAGAAAATACCTTTTGATGTTATGTGTTAATACAGGAAGTGCTCCACTTTGTTTTTAAAGTCCATACACCTTCATTAGAATCATCTGGATAATTTCTGGAAGTTCCAGCTCTACTAAACAAAAGGAAAAAAGTGTATGTTAACTTGAAAACTACTGCTTCATGATATCACAAGGTGGAAGAGAGAATTTTGAACTTCAGAGATATACACAGCCCAGTAATACAGAATTACATGTATGAATGAAACAAAATACAACTCCAAATATGTTTTAGATGAGGTAACAACATTCCAATATGGATTTTAGTCTTTGTCCTGTCTTTTTCAATTGGCAAAAATCCTCAAAATGTCTTTCTTCAAAAGTAGTGAGCTTACTGAAACATTCCAGGCAAAGCAGCAGCATCTCCATGGACACAAAGGAGGTGCACTCTCTGCCAAAAAAAAGTTTCATAGAGGACCTTTAAAATGTAGCAACTCTTACTGAATTATTAATCAAAGTTTTTACAAGTTTGATAAATTGATCACTTTCAAGTATTTGATACCTCCAGTGTTATCCTGTGACTTGTTGATGTTTGTCAGGTCAGCCAAGTGCAACATCTGTGGTGCAGGAGGCATGGTGCACTGACTCCGTGTGTTGTTAGAGATTGTGGCTTTTGATCTAATAGAGCTCCCTTCGGCCAGAGTGTCTGTGCAGCAAATCTGAAACAATGCAGAGGGGGACGACCTTTAGACACAGGTGACACCCACAGCAATCAGCACCAACAAAGATAAGTCCTTTTTATCACTTTTCTGACAATCAATGACTCCGCCCTCTTTCCCCCCATTTTTTTCCTGCTACCTGCATTCTACAAATTGGAAAATTCAGCCGTTACAGTCACCAATCAAAAGCACAAATACGGTGTAAGAAGTATGCATTTTGTTTTCCCAGTATCAGTCCCATTGTCATTGCTTCCTGTTGTGGCCATTAACCCATTTACAGCTGCGTTGACTGTGTGCACAGCTTTGTACAGAGTAGTGAAAAGGACAAAGGTGGAGAAATCCAAGTTAAATGTAGATAAAACTGAGTTATATCGGTGTTTGTTTAAAAATATTTGTTGATGAAATTATGGTAAGGTGTTCACAAAGGCATCTTGTATTGTTCAGTCAACCTTTTTATTTTGAAAACATATGGAAGAAACATAGTTACAACATATAACGGAGGGTCTCGGAAGTTATTTCTGCGTTTAGATCAACTATCACCTCACACCATCAAAAACAATGGATGTTTTATGATCTGATGAATCTAAACAAAGCAAAATGACTGGCCTTTGCGACATGGATAAAAAAATATAGCAATATTAATGGGACATTTTTGCATAAAACCATATGTTGTGTAATGTTCTGCTTTTAACAGCACATGGGACTTTATATGTTTTTCTGCAAGGAGGCACAAACACAATCATTTGAAAAGGTTGTGTCAGTCATACAGGTTGCTCTCACTACAGGATCTGCAAATGCCATCAATCATGTGCAGCAGCGGGCAGGACAGTGGAGCTGTGATGGATGAGAGCAGAGAAATGAGACGGAGAGGAATGCACCATACGTCCACAGTGTCGCGCCAAGTTTACACGACAACAACTCATAGACAGCAAATGTAATAGTGTTATTGTGGCATTAGTGGTTGTTCCCTTATCTTCACTATGTCAGCTGCAGACAAATGTATTTAACTTTCAGATTGAGTGAACCTTACATTTTCATTTTCTGTTCAAAATATTTCACATAAATTACTTTTGTTTAATTGGTTATAATAAAGTAATAAAATAAATAATAAAGTAACTGTATTTTTAAAGATTGCAGTGCACATTTGTCTTTAAAAATACTAAGATATAGGCAAGGTTTATTGCTGCGTTAAAGCAAAAGCAGTCAAAGTTAATTGTACATGTGACCAGGTGGTGATAATTGTTTGGAGAGACAGAAATAGTGGCTAAAGCAGAGCTGCTCAGTCAAAGCAGCTGTTGGGAAAACACTGAGCATAAAGCAGACATCCTGGGCCATCCTGTCGCTACAACACCAATAATCTCACCACTGAGTTGGACATCCTCTGTGCACTGTAAGGCTATGGCATGTTTACAGTATGTTGTGAATGTTATGTGGCTTGGTCTGCCTATATTTTATTTATTATGATGACCAATTATGCGTGGCTCTTTTGTTTGGTAATAGTCAGCTCATCTAGCCTATAGGTGGTCAAGTGCTTGACTCACATTTGTCCAATTAGTCAAAAAGGTTTCCAACACTAAACTCCCCAGTCATAACAATAATATTAAACTGGTGTGATTTCACTGAACCTTTGTTTGACCATTATATGTAACATTGGTTAAATATTGCTATTCAAGAAGGGACACTAAATTGAAGCTTAAAACTAATGTTTGAGCAAAAATATTGCTTTTTGACTTTTTCTCACTTGACTGACAATGTGTTCGTAGCTTTTCTTGCCCAAATAATGGCCATTTAGAAAAGCTGATGTTTTGGTTAAATATTTGCCCACATGGACTGTGGTTCTATGGTCAAAACTTAATGTCTCGTGCATTGACTAAAGTCCAACACAGACATGACTCAGGGTTCTTACTTTTTTAATCAGTGTGCCAGACAGCCAATAAACCAAACCCAACAATCCAACCAAAACAAGCCTAGTGAATCATAAGAACAGGCTATTTAGGCAAGCATGACTTTTATTAAATCTACACTGCCATCTGCTGGTGAAAAGCCAAACGGGCATGGTCTCTAAAACTAAAAACACATGTGAAATGAAGGCTCAACTACCTTTAAAAATGTATGTTTAAAGGCTCTTCACATCAAGCAAATTATCTCCAGTCCGAACTGGTCAGGCAGCTTTAGGAGATAGCCTACTGTCACAACTATGAAGTAACCAAAGGCAACAAAAATAAGTAAGAGAAAAACAAATTGAACTCTACACAAGGCAGTTTTGAAATGTTTGATGTGTTAATGTTTCCTATTATTAGTGTATATTTTAGGATAAGTGAACAAATATTCTAATGTTACAGGTAGCTCACTGTAGCTACGCGCAGACAGTGCGCAGTCAGTGCGCAGTGCACGGAGCCTACGGCACAACTGGAGCACGGAGAAGCTTCTCGTTGTTTAAGTCTCGCGTTTTTTTCCCTTTGGCCACAGTCTGAGCGAAACGCCACCACAGCAGCGGTGACTGAAGAGACCAGACGGGAGTAAGCGGCCCTTTGGCTGATCTCTGTGGATTTGAGGCGAAAGAAGCACCAATAACTAAAATGACCAGTGGGTATCGACATATATTTGGACTGTAAGGCTTCTGTGTACTCTGAACGTTTTCTTGTTAGTCTTTTGATCGTGGCTTTCGGCCCTGTTAGCATTGCGTCGTCTTTTCTTTGAAACAACCAAAACAAAGTAGCGCTATGAACCGATTTCTTTAACGATGCAAAGGGTTGTTTCATTCACTTTTACACGATACGTTAAATAATTACAACTATATGGACGTGATAAATATGCTAAGTTACACTACGTTCGACGAACATTTGTCAACAACGCAAAGCTAATGCTAGTAGGTCACTCGTTTAGCCTCGGCCTGCAATGAATCCCCGAATAAGGTGGAAAAGAATATATCATGTGACCTACCTTGAGGCAATAGCGTTGCGGTAATAATAATATTTAGCTTATAGCGATACATTTTGTCACTCCATCAGACGCACAACTCTGGTAAAATGGGTTAATGCTTAGATGTCGCTTGTTTTCAGTGTCTGCGTGAAGCGGCTCTGTAGCGCCCCCATGCCACGTTGGCTTGTGTTAAACTTTTATTCTACATCTGGGAGATGTTTGGTCCTTTCTAATACGTAATGCTCAATTTGATAACTGATTTATTTTTTCATTTCTTGATTTATAGGGGGAAACCAACGTGAGCTTGCACGCCAGAAGAATGCCAAAAAGCAGAATGAACAAGGCAAAGGGAAGAGGAACGAGGATGGGCTGTCTGCTGCAGCTCGGAAGCAGAGGTAAACAGTCAGTGGATGCATTTACAATTGGATCTTGTTTTTGTCATCACAAATAATACCCTGTGTAATTTGTGTTTTTTTTTTTTACTTGTCCTAACTGGATCTCTTCCCCCTCTTGTCTGGTAGGGATGCTGAAATAATGCAGCAGAAGCAGAAAAAAGCAGACGAACAGCCGAAAGGAAGCACAAAGAAGTAGCTGTGTTTCCTGAGCATCAAACTTGTCTAAATATTTATCAGAATGGATACGTGATCTCAGTTTCAAGAATCCAGGAGCCTTCTCTCTCCCCCTGGCTAATGACATTGCATTTTGGATTAGTGATTTTACTTGCTAAAATTGTCTGCTAGCAGTTGTCCAGAGCTGATGCTGCATGCACAGGGGCATCAGCAGCATCAACTACATGAGAGAAATGAAACTTGTTGTTGCAAAGTGTATATGTAACATGTGTGTATTTTTGTACAAAAGCCCCCCTGTCGGTTTCAAATAAAGTGTATCTTTTTAGTTCATACAATATTGCCTGTTTAGTTTGCGATTGTGGTTAAATTGTAATGTTTATCAGGAACGGGAAGGCTAAAAGTCCTAGTGATGACACAATTGTTAAATAATTTGCAGTTGGCTGGTTTTACAGTTAAGTTTGGGTTATAAAATGTTCTGCTTTCCCCCAGTCCTAACTTTGGATGACGTTGCAACTGATCTATTATGAACAACTGTTTAATATGAATTTACCCATGTAACTGTGTAGTGAGAAAATAAATGCTGATAATTATTCACAGATATAGGAACTTAAACATCGCTCACCCAACAGGCTCAGAACATGATCTGGAATAGCTCAAGTTTACCGCCAGGTGGCGACCTTTACCACAAAACATTTCAAGGTAAATTTTCTAAACTGTTAAACGAAATTGACACATGAAAAATTACAAATTTCTACAGTGCATATGCAGGGCTGACCCTTTGTATTTGTGAGTAGGCAATATCACAAGCAAGTGGAGGCAAAATTTAAGAATAATTGCATTATCACAGTTGTTGTGAAACTGAAAGTGTGACGTTAATATTTGTGATATTGTGATAAAAATAGAGAAGGTCAACTCAGCAATATCAAACTTATGAGGCTGGACTGTAATATTTAATTTAATTTATATATATTATACCATTCACTATACATTTATAAACTTGGGTCTACTGTTAAAAACAGTGATCAGATACTCAGTTCATTTATCCAGAGGTCACTTTATTAAGTGTAGAAATAAATAGCCCTTATTTTCTATTGAGATTGCCATATAGGATAGTACAGAGCAAATGCAAATTATACACAACACAGTAATTGTTTTTGAGGGCTTGGTTATGCTACATTGATTTGCTAATAATGAATAGCAAACCAGTTTGTTGCCTCTTGATGAAGCAGATGCACCACTGTTGCTAAAAGTAAATAACATTTGGCAAGTTGATAAAACATAAGATTTCTGGTTTTCCAGAAGTCAGTATTACTGTTGCAAAGTATAGTTTATAATAAAGAGTTATATCAGACACAGTAATATTATAACTCAAAATTGAAGAGACGATGTATATGACGGTAAAATAGATATACAACTAGCCATGCCCAAAATAGGAGAGTTACACCCAATACAGTAGGTCTACATGTCAAATTGATTGCGTTACGTTCTTGTATGCAGATGTTATTTTTTATTTTTTGTTTGTACTGTAGCCTACATTCTTGCATACCTTTGCCATCTGGTGTTGACAAAAGGGAAAAAAAGCATCTCAAGGACAATGTATGCAGAGTGTTTACGGTCTTCTGAAACCTAATCAGTGTAGGCTAGGCAAAAAAGAGAAGCTACAATGTTCAGTTTACTATTGAGTACTTTAATTTTTTTTTTTTTTTCTGAACTTGAAAATATCAGTAGCTTGGCTATGCCATTCTTCTTAATAAGTTAAATGTCAAAAAACTTAAATCAGTGTCTTACCTTTTGGTTTCACAACTACTTCCTTCAAAACATATAGGTTTTTCAACAACCAGACACTTTACACACTATTGCATATTTTGTTCCTCTATTCAGAAAATGGAAAAAATAAATAGTTTTAAATTCTGTACTCAATATTGTGTTTTAATTGTAAACATGTAATTATTGAAATAGACCTAGTACAGTCCCTGACAAAAGTCTTGGCGCTTATCCATTTTGTAGAAACAAAAGCTTATAACCTGACTTTAAATGAATCGATTGGTTTTAGAAATGTCTCATATGAAAGCTAAAACCCTCCCAAATTATGCTCAATATACTAAAATAAATTTGCTTCAGTGAAGAAAGATTGATCATTTAATTAACACAGAAAGGTCAGATTTTGGCAAGACAAAAGTCTTGTCACCTTGTCATATGATGCACCCAATCCTAGATTACAGCCTCACCTGTGATCAGTTACTGATCAATCAGTTAGTGTTTGTGTATAAAAAGAACCCCAGCACACCAGACCTTCACATCAACTGCAACTTGACCTCTGACAACATGCCTAAGATCCACCCTGAGACCAAAGTGTTAATTATCAAGAGGCTGAAGACCAGATCCACTGCTGAGGTGGTGACACCTTCAATGTGTCTCAGCGTCAAGTACAAAGAATAAGAAAAAGATCTGAAATGACTGGAGATGTTTTTGACAAGCCCAGGTCCGGCAGACCCAGCAAGACAACTGCTCGGGAGGACCGTTTGTTGATTCGAAAATCCAGCCCCTTTTCCACTGCAGCAGAGCTCCACCAGGCCTGGTCACCTCAAGTCCCTGTGTCAACCACAACAGTGGACACTGGAAAAGTGGCAGAAGGTGGATTTCTCAGATGAATCCTCGGTTGAATTACATCACAGCCGCCGCAAATATTGCAGGAGACCTACTGGAGCCCACATGGATCCAAAAAACCAGAAACGACCCAGAAAACAGTTAAGTTTGGTGGCAGAAAAATCATGGTCTGGGGTTCCATCCAGTATGGGGTGTGCGAGACATTTGCAGGGTGGAAGGCAATATCAATAGCCTAAAATATCAAGAAGTATTAGCTCCTCTTACATTCCCAACCATAAAAGGGGTCAAATTTTGCAGCAGGATGGTGCTCCATCGCATACTTCTATCTCTACATCAAAGTTTCTCAAGGCGAAGAAGATCAAGGTGCTCCAGGACTGGCCAGCCCAGTCACCAGACATGAACATCATTGAGCATGTCTGGGGTAGAATGAAAGAGGAAGCATGGAAGGCAAAACCAAAGAATCTTGATGAACTCTGGGAGGCATGTAAGACGCTTTCTTTGCTATTCCTGATGACTTCATCAACAAATTGTATGAATCATTGTTGAACCGCATGGGTGCAGTCCTTCAAGCTCATGGAAGTCATACAAGATATTAAATATGGATCTCACAGCACCACTACTTAATTCACTGATGTTATGCAACATATTTTTGTATTTGAAGTAAATTATTTGTTCAATTTTCTGTAGGCGACAAAACTTTTGTCTTGCCAAAATCTGACCTTTCTGTGTTCATTAAATGATCAATCTTTCCTCAATGAAGTTAATTTATTTTAGTATATTGAGCATAATTTGGGAGGGTTTTAGCTTTCGTATGAGACATTTCTAAAACCAATCGATTAATTTAAAGTCAGGTTATAAGCTTTTGTTTCTACAAAATGGATAAGCGACAAGACTTGTCAGGGACTGTATATTGAAGGGGGGATTAACTCAATCTAGGCCTATGTTATTTTATTTACTGTTTTATTGTCTGTCCTGTGGAAAAGTTTCAAGTCTAGACAAGCAACGATGGAAGCACATGTGGTCTAAAATGAAGAAAACAGAAGAATACCTCAAATAATTGGGTTAAATATGTTTCCAGATGCCCCTTTTCCACTGAGATCAGATTTTGTAAGCACCCTGTGTGATTTATAAATCAGAAGTACATCAGTTGAGTATTACTTCCAGAAACAAAAACTGCTGAATTCTGTTTGTTGAAAGTCTGGATTTAGTAATTAAATATGCTCATGTCTCTGCAAAGTGATAGTGACAAAGAAAATACTACACTACATACAAGAAAACAATAACAGAAAAGACAGTGGTGTATTTCATAATTCATTTATTTTAAAAAAATTAAAATAAAGTGCTTTTTATGTACATTATAATAAAAACAACAGTCACAACCTCAATGATACAAAAAATACAGTTCACAATGTTATTTGTACACAAATGAAAGAAAAATCATGCAGGCAAGACCACATTTGTCTAGTTTCAGTCAACAGTAAGCTTATGGTGTTTTCTGAGGCAAAGCGGTTGGTTCAGGGGTTGTACTTATCTGACTGTTGTTCTGTACAACTCAAGTATGGGATTGATTTTTGTTTTTTGGTCTGCATTTTTGTAATTAAATTAAAATTATACATGACGTCAAAGCATGATTTGCCTACTTGAACCACTGTAGGAAGATGAAACGTTGCTGCACAATCACTGGCCATTGTATTAGGTATACCCAGTTCATTTAAAAAATAGCTTAGGTTGGACAAAAAGGGGGAATTAGACGTTACACCAATTCTGACATCAACATTTCTAATCTAATCTGTATAAATTTTAATGATAGGTTCCAAAAAGAGAAAAACAATTATACAAAGCTGGGCAATTGGTGTCTAAAATCAAAGAACAATGGTTGTTCTGAGATTAATAAGACAATATAGGAACTCAAACAGTGATGAGAGGAACAGTCCAACCCTGCATAACCAAAGTGTCCCTAATTAAGTGGCCAGTGTGTGCATACCGTAGTTGATTACATTCACGTTTAGAGCTTTACTGAGGAGCCACTCAAAATAAAGCATCTTGTAATATCATTGTTTGCTTTCTTAAATAATAAAAGCATGTCATTAATAAATAACACTATCTATTATATAACAATATTTACCTTTTGGTATTTTTTCACTATTAAGGTCCAAAGGTAGTATATGTCTGCTTTTGAATGCACCATCAGTTGTTGCTAATACTGAAGCCTCACAGGTTTTTGTCCTATGTTGTTCAAAAGCAGAAAAAGAAGAGGCAGCTCCCGGTCTGCACAGTTATGGGTGAGGCTGTACATCTGTTGACCCGTCTTGTGTTATGTTTTGGGCTTATAGGTTTGGCCCCTGGAGGCCTACAATCACTGTGTATGTGTATGTTGGAAAGGTCTATGCGGTGGAAAAGTGGACATGTGGCGCACACCTTAAGGCAGAACAACAGTTTTTTCGAAAAGGTGTTTGGAAAATTCAAATGCTTTTCAAGGTCATTACTAAAGCAGGACATTGAGTTGTATTTATGTTTCATATTGTAAATAAGACAAGATCGGTTTCATTTGTGACACAGGAAAGATTAAAACTGCATTTGCATTAAAGTTGTGACTAATCCAAAACCCGAAACTAGACCTGAACTAAACCGGTTCTAAACAAAGTTTAGAACAGGACAAAACCAAGCCCAAATCAGGACTTAAATAACCAAATAATGGCAAGAGTGAATGCACCCTTAGAATAACATTCATTTAAATAAGCGAGTTAGCTTTAGAAAACACAAAGCACCCTTAAAATATAGTATAATATACTATGTATACTTAAAATATGCAAACCTATATGTAACCTAGAGTCTGTGCTGGTCCCAAATAAGTAATGAACAATGAGGCATTTGATTTGATATATACATCTAAAGACCCAATGAATATGCTAATCACTGCATGCTATGGCAGGAAATTATTTAAGATAAAGAAAAGGATTTCAAACTAATCACTGGACAAAGATTTATTATTGGTTTTCAAAATGGGAGCAATTACTGCTACTAATGTTAAGTTCTGCTTTAAGATGCTGTGTCCAATGTATGACTGTAGTGTGTTTGGAGATGTGCAGAGCTGTGCAAGAGGGAAAATGCAAGTTGAAGTAGGCAATAAAGCACTATGGAAGAAATAAAAAAAAATGTATCAGCAGTGTTCACTCTAGTTTCAAAAGTATCTCTACAACACGTCTTGCACAAGGTCCCTTAAAACACACAATAATAACCACATTGTATTTACACAACAAAAAGATAGAAAATCACACTGAGAATGCTGTGCAATTACTTGGTCATCTTGTAGCAGTTACATAGCATGTCGTCATCTGCGCGGTGTTTTAATGGCAACTTTCTGTACAGCATACTATATAGATACCGTTTTATGGTAGGTACAGCGAATTGTGCCATGATGTCTCTGTAGGCATCTAAATATAGTTTGAATTATGTTTACAATACTGACTTATTTTATGTCTTTGGAAATATCTGCTAGGTATTAGGTCTAGGGTGCAGTGTGTATGTGACTGACCGCACTGGTCCCTGTACAATTTTGATTTGAAGGAATTATTTGCGTAGCAGCCAGACACGCTTGTTCTCTCAGTAGTTGCTTGAATTTCATTTTGCTGAAATGTGCAAATGCGGACACCCTGATAACTTGTGCTTTCACATTAGGCTGATGTGTTGACTTGAGCACAGTGAATGCCATCTACAGAAGTGTAACCTGGGGGATTATATTGAGCCAAATATACAGCTCTGTGCATCTACATGATTAACAGTGCATCTGCAGTCTGGACAAGAGACCACAAAATATTATTCAATTGTTAACACAGCGGCAGTTGAAATACATCTTTTCTATCACCCTTTCATTGAGCTTTTAAGCATTAAACAGCAAACAGATGACATATTGTTAGTGCTTGTTGAGCTCAAAAGTACCCATAATTCACTAACACTAAAAAGTCAAAGATTTGTCATCTGACAACCATATGACATGATCATATAGTATTTTCTTTTGGCCCTTATTCCATTTCAGTATGTCCATCAGAGTCTGTTATTGTGTTAAAAGCTAACAGTCTAGAGAAGTCCCCATGCACTTCACATTTGCTTATTATTAGTGCTGTGATTAGTCAGTGAAACTTAAGACTTAAGTTTCCATTGCTATGTGCTCTTCAACACTGAGTAATGCTAACAAAAAGCATGATGTGGTTGTGGTTGGTACTGGACGGATGGCACTATTGCATTTAGGTAAGACAATCAAAGAGTATTTTTGGCACTTGGCACGGGATGAATTCAGTGCTGTCCTGATGGTACAGATGAGTCCCCTTTATCCTTGGCGCTGTCACAGACATAAAAAGCCTTATTTTTCCAGACTTACTTGAATCCAGAGTAGTGTCTATCTTTCTCAGTCATCCTGGTCGATTGTTCCATGTGAAATAGACAGACCTCAAAACAGCCACTTGCATTGAGGAGGTGCATGTCCATAAAGGACTGCTGGTCCTTAAATTAGTTCTGGACCAGCAGTCACTGACATGTACCAGTCGCCTAAATTTTTGCTCCCACTGAAATTGAAAATCGTTTTCTCCATGCTTTTCATTTAATAACATGTGCATCCAAAAGTCTTTAATGTGATGGAACAGATGGTTTTCTTTTACTCCAAACCCTGAACCTTGTTGCTTGTACATATAGCTCTTGTATGCAGACAGATGCTCTACTGATAATGTGCAGTAGTGTATTTTTGAAATAAAAATTCAAATCAAAAGATCTAGAGATCATTGATGTTGAATAATTTAATGACATTAGAAGATACTATGATGTGTTTCATCCATCTCTCTCTCCATTTGTACATTCACCAGTGGCCATGACATGAGGACAATGGCGTCTTGTGGCCCGGGCTCAAACTGCGCTGCACCTTTTTTCTCAGTCCCAGATTAACCCGGACCATCCGCTGGCTTTGGAGTGGAAATGGTTAAATGAAATGACCTCCGCTATTATCACAGAATGACGATGGCTAAAATAAAACATATGCTGTGATGTAGGAGGCTGTCAGCTTTTCCTCTCCCTGCTCATTTGGCCTGTATCCCCCGCAAAGATACAAGACTGGCGTTTTTACATAAACTGTGCTCTTTCATACAATAGAGTCTTTTATCTCCGAGCCTAGCCTTACTCTGGGTCGTGGGCAGGTTGGGGAGTATTCAACATGGCTTTCTTTTGCATTGAGCGGCCTTCTGTCAGACGCCTCCGAGAAGCTCTTGCTGTTGTCCGGCGAGGACTCGTGTGTGGGTGTGCTGCAGATATAGTTGTCGTTCAATGTCTGGTAGCCCTTATGATCAGATGTGGATACAGGAATAGTGTTGCCATTCAGCGGGAGGCTTTCAGTGGGCTTTCCAACTATTCTGGGCTTCTTTTGCTGCATATTAGGGCACTCTCCTTGCTTTAACATTGACTTCATATGGTCTCTGTTTCTGTAAATGACAAACAATGAGAAGACCACCAAGGAAAAGGCCAGCAGGGCACAGACCACGATGAGTTCATTCCAGTAGGTTTTGGTGTGCACTTGCTCAGAGCGAGATTGACCAGGGAGGATGATTGTTTTTTCCTGCTCCACATGAGGCGTTCTTGAGTGTCCAAACAGCGTAGTGCTCTCCTGACGTGGCTCGGCTCTCACGCAGTAATTGGCCAACAGCTGACGAAAGCCCTCCTCCTCGGACCAGCATTCATACGTCTCTATCTTGTCTACTTGTGCCACCACCACTAGGTTTCCTTCTGGGGTTGCATACAGGGACTGGCTGGCGCTGTCACTGTAATGCCACTTCCTACGTGCCAAATTGGAGCGCAGCTTACACGGCAGGACTCGAAATGTGTTGGCTGGGATTGTGACAAACTGGCAGCGACCACCTAAAGAAGAAAGATTTTCAAAAAAAGAATTTGTACACAGTATAATGAAGGATTGTATTTTCATTTGAGTTTTGCACAATTGCCGTCTACCTCTTCCTGGCTACATGTTTCGCAACAGTATGTGTCAATTTGTGCTGACAACTCACTGAGCAGATGCGCTGTAATTAAAGATCTGAGTGTACAAATAACACACTCACGAGAAGCTGCTGGTCTGGCAGATCTGGCACTGGGGAATGTCCTGTTACAAATGGCTGAAGTATCAGCCTCCTCCACATCTTGCTGCCAATGGCTGAGACAAAACACAGCAAACAAAACAAATGTGTTAGTGGGCCTAATAAGAGACATTTTAACAGTCAAAGTCTTTCATTTAGCATGAGTATACCCTAGTCTTTGTGACCAAGGCAATAATGTTCTTCCAGAGACTACATGTTCAAACACATGACTGTAAGTCATGTAAAAAGGGCTTAAAGGTACACAGCGTAACTTTTCTGGTGGGGGTGTGGCGGGAGGTGTATGCTACCTAGTTGATTTTATTGCTTTGTTGCTAATATTCAACAGTATGGCAGATAGATTTAGTGCGATAATGTGTAACATTTTGGTGAATCATTAAGGACAAATTGATTTTGTACCGTACACTTAAAGCAAAGCATTAAAGACATGCATTTGTCACATTCTTATATGTCAGTTTCATGGCAATAATCTCTCCTATTTTAATACTTTAGTACTTTCTGCCTCTTTGCTTTATTTCCTAATACTGTCTTACCTATCTGGTGGTGCCATCCTGACATCCCGACACATCTTCCCTGTCCAGGCGCAGTAGGGGTCTCTGGACAGGACACACTCTCCACAGCTCACATAGTTGGAGCAGTTGGCCACGGCAACCTCCACCAGTCCAGAGTGGGACGAAACAAACAAAAGGCCCTTCAGAGAGCAAAGCAAGAAACAAAACAGGATCAAACCAGCTCTCCATACAACAATAATTACTGAAAATAAACACAAAACTTCAAGCTATACTAAGGTCTAATTTTAGCCAGCTGCTCTTCCATTTGAAACCACCAATGTAATTTGATTATGGGGACATATGGCAACCATATTGATGATGTCAGTGCTTGTCACATGGCAGGCACACAGTCTCTCTCTAAAAGCACAGACATTCACAAATGCATTTACCTGCAGGCATGATGGAACTAGAATAAAGTTATAAGTCTAAATTTAACACATCTTGTCCAGCAGTATAAAAGGCAATCTTCACGGACACTGTCTTAGGCTTTCATATCCCTATTTGGAGCTAAGAATATACACACAGAAAGAGCTTGGTCTTCATTAGAGTTACATAATCTAAGATAAGATTTGGTTTGGGTGCATGGCGGAGGCAGAGACCATTATGTAATAAGAAGAGAAAGGTAATGAAATTTAGATCTGGGTAAACTGCCAGCATGGGTCATAAACCTTATTTTAGACACAAGACTGTTAGTTGCTGTTAAAAAGCCAGTGATAAAAAGTAAATAAATAGTGCCTTCATACCCTTCTTTTGTAATTTCATGCTATTTCATACTTCCTGTCATTATATATTTCCAGGATTCAGTTTGCGAATTTGTGATAGCATAGTTTACCCTTTGTGGATCAAGTTCAATATGCTGCACAGGCTGAGGCTCAGGAAACAGGACCATCTCTTCAATGATGTGCATCTTATCATTGGCATTTATGGCTTTATGGAGTTTCCCATCATCTGGTTACCAGAAAAAAATATTTAACTGAATGCAACTGATGGTGTCAAAGTTTGTGAGTCACTGAAAAAAAAATGTACCTGTTCCAATAAAGAGGACATCATAGGCCCTTTCAATGCCCTGGATCTTGTGCACTGCAATCTGTGTGTAGCGAACATTGCGTTTGAGCAGGAGAGGGGAACTGCGGATCACACTGTCCATAAGGAAATGGTCCTTGACAAAGTTAAGTACTTTGTCTGGCATGTGTAGGGACGACTGGATGCCCATTTGCCTGGCATGGTTGGTTACACACTGAGTAGAAGCAAATTACAGGTGAAAAATTTAATTGTGTTTATGGAGTATTATAAAGATGCACTAAAATGATACCTACAGCCCCAGGACGAGGTTCGGGCACAGGATGGTTGTAGGTGTACCACTGCTGTGTCTCCCTGTTGACCTCACGGTAGCGTCCACTGAAAGCTCTTTCCACTTGGGCCATTGTAAAGGCACACACTGCTGAACTGCCCGACGCTCCTTTGTACCTGAGCAGAGTAAAATCAGGTCAATGTTTTGTTTTGTACACTCAATCCTTTTCAAAGAACTAACATCTCAGGTTACACTTTTACAAATCTTGCTGAATGTCTACAAAGAAAACATATAAAGCTTTAAAAAGTACATGACTTAACAAGGTTACCAGAGCCTAAGTGGGTTTACCTTTATTACAGCTGCCTTATATCCAGATAAACAAAAAAACACAGATAATAAAACAAACCTAACTGTATATTCAGCTCAAGTCGGGTCAGTGCTGCTTTGTTTGTACATGTGCACTTTGCATTTTAGCATACATCATAACAGCACCTTTAAATCCTGAACTATACACAGTGTGGTTTAGTGCATCTGTGCATGTGTCCTCTTACCACTGAGAGGTGAAGACACCATAAAAGACTGTGCTCTCCCAGCTGTCCCCTGTGGGCTTGAGGACAAACATGTCTTGGATGATGTTAAAGGGAAATCCATCGTCAGGGAGAGAACACAGAAGCTGTGCCTTTAGAAAGGTGGTCCACTTCTTCTGAAGCACACGCTCTCCGCCTTTATCACCCTGCAAACACAATACACATAAATGCATTGAATTTACAAAAGTCAATGAAATAATATTGGGGATAGATTAATAATTGGAAGGCAGAGTCAATAGAACCGCCCTCACATTTTCAGTCCTAAACCTTATTTTCAAACTGGTAATTTAAAATGTTATCCACTTATCACCAGTGTTCATGTGCATTAATTAGTTTGCAACTTTTTCAGTCAGCAAAGTGAAGCAAGGTTGACCGCTCACAAACATAACTCTTTCTTCCTATCCTTTAGGTAGTCCGATTATTATTATTATACATATTTTTCAAATGTATTTTACACCAGCTATGACAAGCTTTTTTCTTAGCAGACTTACATCACAGGTTCTCAGAAAATTGAATCAGCAGTACAGAAGAAAGAAGAACAAGACCAAAACAAGTCGTCTCGCCCAATCTCTGGACAATACTCAATACTTCACTTCCGAAAACCAAGAGCTCCTCCTCTGCACATCGCAGCTGAAGGAGGGATTCATAGTGGAGAAGATTATAAAATGCAAACGAGTGTTTCCTCCCCTGAGTGTTGTTCACAAACCATCATCTGGCACCATCTCACGGGAGGGACTGAGGCAGGGTCTAGGAGCCAATTACCAGCCCGTGGTAGTAGTAGCCTGTGTCCACATAATGAGGAGCGCACATTCCTGCTCCCTCAGCTGTCCACTGCTATTGTTGCCCTGCTCCACTGCACAGCTTGTACTCTCAAACACAGCACAGACCACTCCCCAAATAACCGCCCAGTGAAAATATCCCACAAGCTGTTACTGCGTCAGCCTAATATTTGACCTTAAGGAATTGAAAGCACATTGACTATGGCTGTGTATATTATGAGAAAAATAGGCTAATTAGGTATACAGAAGTGGTGCCATTCATTGTTACAGCACACTACAGTTCCCTCACAGAGTCCACACCTGAATAAACAATAGAAATGGGGGAGTAGCTGAAAAGAAGGGGGAGAGATAGGCCTGGGTAAAGACAACATCACAGAAGCTGAATCACAAAACAGTAGTTAAGTTGTCATAAAAGACAACAAGACGCTGATTTATCATCTTTCACATGAAAATACAGCTCAGGTTAAGAAAATCTCCTTCCAGATGAAATAACACATTCAAGTTGTCACAAATATTAAAAATTAAACCACACTGTCAGGGAGGGAAAAGGGAGTAAAGTCCTGGGCCCATGATTTGGGAGGGGCCCTCATACCTCTGTCCTGTTACCTAATCTCACTGTATACAGGGTGTGCTCAGAAAGGGTGAATAATATCTTGACAGCGTAAACTGAATGTGAAAAATGTGAAAAACAGACATAAATTGGTTTGCAAATATAAAAATGTAGTTTTAAAGTGATTTGATGCTCCCTTTTAGCTACCATTTCACCACTCCCAACTCGCACTCTTAACATAGAGGCACAAGCAACCCGTTTGTAAATGTGTAGGCTCTTTATTCCGTTAATTATGCACTGGTGTAGGGACAACACCACCTGCAGGACTTGTCCCCAGAGCTGCTACTAAAAGACCTCTGTCAGTAAAAGGCACCATGCCACATAGCTGGGAAATAAAGGATCTCTATGGAGGAGTAAAGGCCATTCTTCTGTCCCTATTGCACAATTCATCTGCAGCAAGTTCCTTTCTGTCAATGACTTCCCATATATAGCAGCCCAGGAGGTGCTTCAGTGGCTGGAAGAGGTGTCACAGCATACAGAGCCAAAGCAGTGCAGGACTAAATCATTAAGCTGTCACTTAAGATTACATGCTGTCCCACCGATTACTCACATTACTGCCTCTGTGAACAAGACACATCAGTCAGGGAAGGATGCTGCGTGCGCATGTATCAGGCCGTCATAGGCTTTTAATTGATCTAATGACAGGTGAAATAAGATAGGACTCCTCAGGTTATTATTCGAGGTGATCGACCAAACTAAACTAAAGTTGGAGAGGAAGAAATTATAAAATTATTCAAGAGAACTCTGCGAGGTGCATGCTTGGCCAGTAACAAAAACAGGCCATACAGTATAGTGAAGGAAAAGCATTTCATATTGCTGAGATACACCCCTGAATACTAATAATGCCTGCAAAGCTCAAAGCGCTGGAGAAGGGTTAAGAGCAGGAGGGATGGATGAGTGCAACTGACATTGTGAGGCAGATCGGAGAAGAAGGGAGAGGACATTGCAGAGGGTTATAGCTCAGGAAGGGGAGGAGTAAGGAGGAGAGGCAAACAGAAAAGTCTGTTGAAAACATGTTTGTATAGACACAGAAGAGACAATGCCAGAGATCCATATGACCATGACGTACAGAAAAATACTGCTGAACATGCTTAGACAAGGGAGCGTCCTGCCTCTCCTGGAGCTTATTGTATCAGGATTAAGGACTGGAAACTTAAGCCTTGTTCTGTCTGTAACTTTTGCTGGGCCTTCTTGCGTAATGACCTCAAACCAACCCCAGGTCTTACTTTACACACGCGAGCGATCCTCGACACAATGGTGTTGTCAAAGAAGTCAAATTCCTTTCCCGCCTCGCTGAAGAAAAAGTAGATCTTGTCATCGTCTCCAACTGGGTTCCCTATTGGTTGACTCTCCTCAATGTATGCTGAGCCCACAAAGACTGGATCTGTCAAAACAACAAAAACAAGTAAAATTACAGACTATACCTTATAAAAAGGCCAGACTAAAGCTTTCATATACATTAAAACATATGCCATAATGCTGGTACACAAAATTTCACAAGCACAATATTGTGGAAAATGTAACTAACTTTAGAAACACAAACACATCTAATTTAATGCAGGTTAAAAATATATACATTTGTAATTTCATAAATAAATGTACAGTGCACATATACAATATTCTGATTTCCTTAATGTTGATATACTATGCTTTTAAAACATTTTTGTGTTCAATATTTAATTGGACACAGATGCATCATAGGTGCAGGATGAATTACCTACAGATCAAAAGACAAAAGGGCTCCTAATTGTGCACAAAATCTGTCTCACTGTGGAAACCCAGTGGCTGTGGTTGTTTTGATGTGCATGTGCTTCCAGTGATAGGACAAAATCTCCACTATCTGAGTGAGTCGAGCGTCGCTAATGATCACTACACATTTGGGCTTATCAGCTTCGTTGGCTACATAATGGAAGATGTGAACAGAGCTGCCGTCATCTGATGGAGTCCAGGCACTTTACCTTGTAGCCATTTTAAAGAGTTTTCTGTCTTTAGTGCTGCTGTCTGGCCCAAACTCTTATAAATGACTGGTTCGTTCCCCTGGAAGTTACTGACAGTGCCTGTGTACAGTTCTCCATCTGCAAGCAAGAACATTGAAAACTCATTTTCCTTATGAAAAACAATGAACGCTGCTCCCTGTAAAAACTTATCTTGAGTGAAGGATTAGACAAACCATTTCTCCCACTCAATTATTGACTAATTGCTTGTTAAGGCAGTGGAACACAAACAGCGTACAGCTATTTATCAAAAGGACATTGCAGATAAACAACATCAGCAGGCACATGATGACTCATTACACAATCAAAAGACACACAAACATCAAAGATCTACAGACAGTGCAGCCTATTTTCCAGTGGATCCATCAGCACTGTGAGAGATGATGTATTCTTAATATAAAGTGACTTACCAACAATGATGGCAGTGGATTTGTACTCTGGATTAAATGGGCACCGACTGCGCCCATCCTCTGTCATGACCTCCCCAACGTCATCTCGCTCCAATGTGAATGATGTTGTGTTCTGGAAACAAACAAAATCCAATTAAACTAACTACCATATGAGTAAGCAAACAGTAGTTGTATATGTTTAAATAAAGAGAAAGTGGGATTCAGTGGTAAAGCTATGGGACAGATAAAGTTTTTATAGTCAAATGTGAATTTACATTTCATAATAATTATGTTTATAGCCTGGATAATAAAATATATACTATATAACTAAACAAAATTTTACCCCTCAAAGTCCATAGGTTAGAATTTATATTAATATGCATGATTTCATTCTTTTTGGTATATCTGAGCTAATTATGACGTATGCAACATGTACAAGCCACACTAGCTGGTAAAGTCTGTGGCTGAATTGTTCTAATGAAATGTATTTTGGTCAATGTTTACATTTCTTTTCTTTTTCTGCAAAGAAGCTCCTAATGTTTATTTTCACATTGGTCTGCTTGTGGATTATTTAGTGTATCCTTCTGGCTAAGTGTCTTGTTACACAGCCTATCACCCCCTCTGGGACTGTTTTATAAAGAGCTGTATAAATAAAGCATTTATTAATGAAAATATTACACAGCACTAGGGCTGTCTGGTCACATGGAATATGCCCCTTTGTTTAGAGGACATAGACACACATTTATTTCTGAAAGCTTAGGAACTCTTTATTAGTACACTACGCCAGACAGGATCCTCTTCATTTCACACAGCACTTATGTAAGCACAACCTGCATTTTGTCTCAGAGGGAGTGTGTAAACCGATTTATGTCCTGATACATAAAAGACACACACATTTCTGGACTGTGTCAACTTCATCTAAATGCTAGGAATTCAAGTTCAGGGCCTGATGTTCTGCCAAGACTTCTTCCATCCATGTTATTCTTTCTGTTGTGACGTCAGTAGAGAAAGTTTAATGTGTGTCTTTAAGAGCTGAGCTGTCGCTAAGCTCGACTGCCCCCCATCTCTAAAATCGATGTAGTCCTGCTGCTACATCACTCTGGTGCTAAACAAACAGCTGTCTGACTCAGAGGACACCATGGAGATACTGTACCCCCTGTAGTCAAGACTGGCTTTAATGCCTCAACAAGATTTAGTTATGCTGGATTCAACATCTCTAATGCTGACTGTTAATATAAAATAAAAGAAAGAAAATACAGTAATTTCTGCATATGACATATGAGACAAGTAGGAGTATCACTTACAATGTAGGCGCAGATGGGACTAAAGGCGTAGGTGCCACACACATAGAGATGAGTGCTGTTGAGCCTCAGCAGAATTTTGATATAGTTGAAACAATCGGTCTGGATAAGGAAACAGAGTAAGTGAATCATTGTGAGGCAGTTGTTATGTTATACCACACACATCGTACTAGTAAATATAACCTGTTGAACAGAAAAATAAGGCATAACCAGCAGTATCAGCATTTGTCTATTCAGCTTTGAAAAACACACAGTCAAAAGGTAGAGCTCTTATAACTAACAGAAGCTCGTCGCCCCGGGATACAACATCTGGCATGACAACAAGGTAACAGACAGCACACAGGAGTTCTCCACATGGATCTGTACCTGGTACAGTACTACACATTGTACAAAGGGTTTGTATTTTACCTACAGTGTATTTAAATGACAGTGGGCTTCTTACCTGTAAACTCTTTCCTTTGAAGCTGCACTCCTCTCTCTTTCCAATGGGAGTTCCCCATGTTAGCTGGAGGCATAAAGAAGAATAGTGTAAGGCTCATGGCAAACTATAGACCCAAGCTAATATTTCTATATCCTATTGCATATCTTTGAGCAGCAGCATTCTCTTAGTAACATTAGGAAAGTGTTTTAATTGAGTTATTCAATTATTAGTTAAAGAAGACATATTAGCTATTCTCAGACTATAAGTCTGGGTGTGCATAGGGGATAAGGGAAAACAGGATTTTTTAGAGCAATGGTGTCTTGAATGCAAGAGAATAAAGGATTTCTCAAACATGTATCACCATAAATAGAAAGTGTGAGTGTGTAAATGAGAATTATTACTAATTACTAAAAAGCTAGAAAAGTCAATTTGACATCATTTATTTTATTTTTTAAAATACATTTTAGTAGTACTAATAGTAGTACACAGTAGAAGTATGCTGTGACTGCAAGTGTTAACATTATGTTAAGTCATACATGTTCATTATTAGATTAAAACTTTTTACTTCACTAAAGATTTTGAGCCTTTCTACTAGTTCAATCTGGCAACTGAAGTAATGTTATAGACTGCAAAACACAGTGTGTCAGTAGGCATACATTGATTTCTTTTCTACAGTATTTAATGTGTATTGAGCATTTCCTCACATTCTTCTGCAGACTGGCCTTGCTGATATTGGAGAGGCTGAGTGCAAACAGTGCCTCTCTGGCCCCGACATACAGCATGTCATCTTCCTGGCTCAGCAGCAGTGTGGTGTAATTGAAGACTCCGGCTGCTGAGAATCTGTTGGTTAACCTCTCCTTAGCATCTAAAACAACAGGGAAAAAACACAAAGTCAGGGGGTTATCATCACATACCAGTGTAGTACAAGCAACACATAAATACAGAGCTAATGCAAGAGAAGATGTGACTGATAGAATGGATATATATACAGTACACTGTCACAACAACAATCTATATGACTCTGGCTTACACTCTGTACTGTAATAATTACATGCTTGCTGCAATAGTCACTGCATTCAGTGATGTGATGTATGAATGAGTCATTTCCTGTACTATTGCTGTCTTTACATTTGACTGAACTGGCAGCAAGGTTGAAGCCACTCTGACTCAATACGGACCTAAATCTCCTCCAAAGAGCTTCTTGCCAACCCCCTTTCAAAAGGATCTTTTGAGAAGTGGGCCACAAGTCAGTTTTTCCAACTCTCAATTGGTGCTCAGCTGAATAGTTTGAGCTGAAGTCCAAATTTAAATGAACACATTCCTGCTTTCGAGGTATTTCCCTTTAACAATACAGCAATTCATATGCTCATCAACAATGGCTTTTGACTGCTTTCAATAGAGTTTGATTGATTACCAGAAGGGAATGGCATGACAAACAGGAATTTGGGGTTTATCACAGGAGTGAAAAAAGTCAACATTTTTCCCATATTAGTTTATCCTTCAATCAAAAAAAATCACTAAAGCCATTTGGCACTAAAATATGTGCTTCATCTGTTGTTGTACTTAAACACTTTGCCATTTTTCAGCATCTTTTAAAAATGTTTATCCATTTCCATCCAGTCCAAACAAATGAAAAGCATGTCAACATTGTTTCCATGCCAAAGTGCTGAAGGGTCATGGACACTTTTTGCTTGTCCAAATAAGATTACTGGGTCGTAAACACAGATATTTGCAGTAACAGTTCACAGCTATTCCCAGTCTATAACTAAATTAAAATTCAGATATAAGGGCTGTGTTTATCTCCAGCACACCAGGTGGTACATTAGACCATAATGCAAACAGAGCCTGTAAATGGCAATACAAACAACCTAAACATTTTAATATGCTTGCAAACAAATTGTTCTTCTAACACTTGGGGCACTTTGGCAGATCAACATTTTTCTCCTGTAAAAACACAGCTGCTAAAACCACATCTTCTGCAAAAAAAATGATTTTAGGCCTTTTCCACAACCCTCAACCTGTTTAAAAATACAGTGACATCTGGAGTCAAGCATGGAAAGAGAAAGTAAGGGAAAAACACTATTGTCAGAAAGTCATTTTTAGGTCAGAAGGCAGATCTTAATGATACAAAAATACATAGAAAAATCTGTTTTATTTCAAAGTAGGTTAATGTTTTGAATGTCTTTTATGATCATTTAGGGAGCTATACTTGGTCCCTTTAGATTATGGACAAAGGAGTGCCGTCCCTTCTTCTCAACAGGGAGATGCATCATAGCCCAACTGCCACTGATCCCCAGGGTTTTGGCCATTGACATGCACCAAAAGAGCAGACATCCCTCAGCATATTAAAAGTCACTAACATAAATCACAATGACATCTTCTTAGACAGACAATGGAATAACGAGGCGAGGAGAACAAACTCATGAAACTTTTACACAGAAAGCAGCTGAGGCTATTTACTGGGGGAGGCAAGGGCTTGCGGAGTCCTAAGTGGGAGTTGTGGTAACTGGGAAGATTAGACCATGGCAATGACCTTTAGAAACACAGTTTGGAGGAGATGATGCAGGAGGTTAGCGCTCTGTCAAGCAGCAGTAATGGACAGACAAAACCAGGAATGTGTTTTTGTTGTTTGATTGGAATGTGGTTATGATAGATGTGTTTTAAGTCAAAATCCCCTATGACCTACAATTATTTATTATTAATGTACCAGGATCACAGACCCTTTTACTGGGGCCAAGTAAATGAACACCAAATGGATGTGCATCTGTTTGACAAAATGTATATAAAAAGTAAGGATGGTCCATGGCTTCGATGACTGTTATGGACATCCAGTATTTGGCTTACAACTGAGCAAACTCATATTTGCTGATTAAATTTATGTGGCTTACTATTAGCTACAGAGCTTATTTATATACGTAGCATGCATATATATATTTTATATATATAAATTAGGGATGGGCATTCGATGAAATTTTCTTAATCGATCGTTGGAAGAATTAACGATCGATTATCGATTAATCATTAACGTTTTTATATTAAAATTATCATCATTATTATTACTATCTGCACTACTAATCTGCATAAATAAATTCAACTTTACGACATATAAACCGTAACGACTCTAGAGCCACATCAATCCGTTTGACATTATAATGTGTTTAATTCAGTTTTGCGCAACACTCACACAAACTAAACTTAAAACCGCATCGCTAATTTGCATAAACTCAGCGAAGATAAAACTACAGCTCTTGTGTCGCTGATGCGGTCAACTTCTGTCGGATTAAAAGACATGATTCAGTGGAATACAGGTTAGTGTGACCATATTTGCGTTTGTCAAAACCAGGACACCGTACAGGGGGTGGGAGGTTGGGACTCGTCATCGACATTGCGCGACTCTCACCTGGTAAAGCTTTTTCCCACTGGACACTGAAACATATGTGCTGCTTTGTTCACTGTGCACATGGACTCACACTTGTCCCGAACGCAACGGAAAGCGTGGAATTTCTTGTACAAATCATCGTTAAATACACATTTGTGCTTCGGTACGTTGCAGACTGACCGACTGTTTGTGTCTCGCTCCTTCTGAGTGCAGAGAGCTACATGTACGGACCCCTGTTTGGTCACGCTACGCACAGCAACCTACATTCGGTTTGTCGATTAAAATTAACGTAATCGATGAAATTCTTAATGATCAATTATCGATTAATCGATTAATCATGCCCATCCCTAATTATATATATATATATATATATATATATATATATATATATATATATATATATATATATTATTTTATATTTTTTTTTATTATTATTATTTTTTACCTGAGTCAACTGAAGTCTTTTAACTCCATCCAACCTTCAACCTGTGCTAATACTGAATACTTTGCACCTTTCATCAATATGGCAGCTTAATGGCCAGTGGTAACGTGCACAAAGTAGGCACAAATTACCCCCAATCTTTAAAGCACATCTGCTGCTGTTGGAGTTGAACCTCTGAGCTTGGGAAATTGACTGAGGACCAATTTAGGAGCCTTTAAAAGATTAATTGTTTCAGGATGGGAAGGCCTCTGGGAGAACAAGGCCTGAATGGACTGTGATTATCCACTGCTACATTGTGACATCACAGCAGGTAATTAGCAGAGAATCGATTCTGGGTTTATATCTATAGTAAGTAAAAACAGTTTGAAGGTATTAGAGAAGAAAATATGAAACATTTAAAGAAATGAAATGTGATATGAAATGAGAATAAATTAGCATTTTCTCTGTTGAATTTTTTCCAGTTACACTTTTGGCAATTTTGGCACCTGCCTTGATGTTTAACCCCATATGTTGAGCTAGGACAGGGTCAAGGCCTTGGTGGAGGTCAGACTTTCTGAATGCTTCACGTTTACAATCCTATTTTTGTTCGTCTAAGTGTAGGTCAACTTTCCAAAGCTTTCATAGAGAATTCCTTCTTATAGCCCATAGTAACATTTGCTAATAGTTCTTCCACTGCTGCTTTTGGCAGGACTAAACCTTGTGTAATGTAGCATGCAGATACAAAAGACTGCTCTTGAGGGTGCATCAATAAAATTTATGTTCCAGTCACATAAATTTGAGTTTATGGCTTTTTAATGTCCCCTTGCTCAAGCCCATATGTATTACCTAAAGATTGAAACAGATTTTAGATATCAAGCTACTTTAAAAGACCAGACAAGATCACACAAGAAGTTTGCAAAATCACCACTGAACTAACTAAGATGTCTTAAGAACATGCCAGCCTTCAGCCTGAGCATCATATTTCAATCATAACAAAGCCATGACTAGAGTACCTTATTTTCCAAGGTTTAATGGTACTTATAGGGCGTGTCCTTTGATTGGCTGCTTCACCGTTGTATGCTCGCCAAGACACTCCTCAAACTGTAAACATAGCCCAGATTTACTCAGCACTCAGCCAAGTCACAAGACAAGGGGGCACCAGGGACAAATGGAGCTTATTGCAGGCGAGCTGAGACAAATCAAAAGAAAAGAAGAGTGCTGCACATGATAATAATCTCAAATTCAGCCTGGGTTTATCTGGAGATGCAAGACACAAATTCATGTGGAAAATGGTAGAAAAAACACCACTATCTGCCTCTGTGCCCCTGTCATTCGTGCAGAACATTGGAGCGACTCCACGCTCCTCTGTTCGACATGATTTGACAACAGTCTTGATAACAGTGCTGAGATTCTGACAGAGGCACACTGAAGTCACTTGAAGGTCATCACACCAGTGCTCCAGCTGCCACGAGGCTAAACTGTGATGCTTATTTCATTTATTGCTCCACTGAAAACAATAGCACAGCCTCTCTCTCCATTTTTAGACTGTGTTACAAAACTGAAATTATTTGCCAGTATTTTATGGGCAGTCTCATTTGGTCCCCTACTTTGGGCCTCAGGGAGTACATTTCTGATTATGGGCAATTGTCTCAGGATTAACCATTCACACAGACACACATTACCTAAGCACATTTAAATATTGTATTTGTCTTAGGGGTTAGACCAGACAAGTATTGCAGCACAAGCCACATCAATTACACAGACAAACAATCGCTCACCATGAGCAAGATCAATCTATGCGTTCCATGTAAAGCTTGGAGCATTTTAATAAACAATTCAAAACATTGCTGTGCTGTCCTTTGAAAGTTCTCAGAAATTACATCCATAAATAAATAATTGCCCATAATCAGAAGTGTACCCCCTCAGGCCCAAAGTATGGGACCAAATGAGACTGCCCATACAACACTAGCGGTGAAAAAAAAAAAAAAAAAAAAGTTCAGTTGACCAAATTGAATTTTTCTGGCTATCCATAAGTTAACTGAAACCTGATTGAATAGGGAAGATACATTTGGCTAATTCATTCAAAACTAAATTTTTTAATATACCGGTACTAAAAATACCTGCAGCTTTTTCCAACAGAAGGTAGGTCTTGGTTGAGGTTCAACACAAAAATATAACAGACCAAAAATATCACTTCATATCATTCTTTGGGAGATCACGCTAGACATTTCTGTTCTAACAGTTTTAATTACAGACAATATACTCTTTATATATTCTTTTAATACTCTTTAATACTCTAATTCGCCAAAACAACAACTGGGATATAATCAATTTCTGTATATTTGCCACATCTAATAGAGCACATCCCAAAATATTTAATACATCAAGTTCTTCGATCCCACAAAGCTACAAAAGGGAATCAAGGCCAGATCATTTTAAGAGCAGCACTTATGGTGTATAGTAAAGGGCTGGGCAGCAGCAGCTCACAGATGTGTTGTAATCACAGCCAATGATGGTGTGACTGTGAAGGCTGCTCCTCTCAGATAATAACCAGACCAGGCACTGTGCAAATCCAATGTCTCTGCTATGTGCGGATTAGGCAGAAAAAGGTGTTAATGGTAGCACGTGACGGCATGTGCAGACAGGGCTTAGTGCCAGCCCAAAAACACCAAATGACTGAGGTTTACAGAAAAGTATGTGTTTGTACAGTGCAAACAGACACAAAGAAGTCACTGCGTCGACTATGAGATAAGCCCCCCAAAAGCACATACCTTACACAACAAACAACAGGGGGCTGACACAGGCGTGATGTGCTCTGTAATTATTGGCTCTCTGGTGTCATCCCCATGCACTCTGAGCGGGCACAGAGCCATGCTACACACACACACACTCACCACTACAGTAAAAAGCACTTTAGCAGAACTGTGGGTCCCCTACAAAGTCACACTAAGCCAATACTGTGTCTAACTCTATTATAGTAAATGTTATATTGTATTGCAAGTAAGGCTGTGCTAATAATATAATTCTACAATTTCACATCCGGCTTTTTCAAATCGATTTGAAAAAGAGCACAGGTGAGCTTAAACAAAGGCCAGGTGAGGGAAGGGGAAGGGGGAGCAGGTTTCACAACTGCCATCTCCTGGGGGAAAAAAACAAAACAAAAACAACCATACGGACGGTAGCTTTAATGCTGTGTCTTGGTTATGTTAAAAAAATTGAAACTTTAATAACATTTTTGCAAGAAATCAATGACATTTTTTTTTAATCCTTGCAATATCACCCTGCCCTATTGCAAGTGTTATATTTACACATGATTATGCTATAGCTCAGTTAATTCGCTCCATGTTAATTTGATCCTGTTTAACTGGAAAAAATACTGTTACACCAATAGCCTGTAGTTTTTGAATATTCCTTGTTTAGCCCTAACATACGTTTATAGCTGTCTAAAACAGGTTCTATATTCAGAGCATAATTTACTCATCCACAATTGTAAACAGTCACGCCTGTGCTTGTCATGTCCCATTTTGAGTCCCCATCCCCGGTTTATTCTGATTCTATAGGAGAGGGTTGTCTTGGCGCTCTCAGCAGCACAAATATATAACAGCTTTCTTTGCAGCTCAAGCGACATGTACACCACAATTTTGATTTATGCTCACAGCCTGTTTAGTTTGCACGCTTGTCAATTTTTAGGTCGCCAGTGGAATGGCCTGCGCTAGAAGCACTGAGTGAACTCACTTTGACTGCATGTGCGATAGAGCTGCAAGTGTTGCCACTGTACACGGATACTGTCCACTTTGTGTGTGGGGCTATCTCTGAAGAGGCCTTTAAAACAACAGCAGGCTGGAGTTTTAACTAAAGTGTCCAAGCATAACCTCAGACAATTAACAGAAGGTTTTTAAAGGTGCACTACGCAACTTTTCTGTTGAATGGCCCACCACCTGCTTGTCTCTATGGAGATTATATTGCTTTATCTGGAATGTTTCACATCATGGCATTAAATTTATCTAGCTCAATAAGACAGGCAGAAAATGGCAAGCTACAGGTCATGTCTGTATAAACGATACCCCACTCACCCAGTACACTTTTTGAAGGTCTTTTTGAGCACTAAACCCCCGTAATGGAACAATGCATCCTAGATATGTTTAATGCCATACTGTGGAACATTCCAGGCAAACCAATAACATATCTGTGGTGGCAGAGCTACACTGGAAAAGTGTATCTTTGATGATGCAACAATCCTTTATACAATATACTTTTTCAGCTGCTCCAAATCTGTCCTGCATTAATGGTTCAGTTGTGTTTGTATAAACACAAATCTGCAATATAAGGTTCTCAAGGACAGAAAAGTAAAAATGCACTTGTTTTTCTGAAATAATTTCTTCTAAATTGAGTAACAAATTGAACAGCGCGCCAAGATTCAGAGGGAGTAACAGAGTAAAAAGCATGTGGTGAGAATTAATACTGGATATAAACCAGGAACGTTCAGGCTTTAATGAGAGATACACGAAACAGCTGCTTTCAAATGATTAAAGTTCTGTCTTGTTGGCTGAATATGAGACCCAAAGTATTTCCTAAGATAATAATAATCACATGTTTATCTTTGTGGAGAGGACTGTATGTGGAATTAAATTGTGTGTTTCATATTAGATTTAAACACTGACCAATCAAACTAATAGTAGGTGTTAGGTCAGCATGTCGTATGGCATTCTACATCATTCTACATCTACATTCATTCAACATCTAAATATTACTAACTATTAAAACACAAAATTTCACATCATATTATCGTACTTTACAGTGCACAAAAGCCAGTGCATGGGTTCAGCCTAACAATGTGTTACCCTGCATTCCTCTCCCGTCTGTCTTAATTACCAGCTTCACTGTAACTTTTTGCTACCTGCCATTTTCTTCAAATCAAATGTTACTGATTGAAATCGTTCAGACTGGACTTTTCTGTACATTCCCTGGAGCGTGTAAGCACTGAAGCCATTAGAGTCTCTGAAAACAGACGGAGCTGATGTGTGGTAATTACAGCCCATTGTGCCGGCTGTTACGGTGCTATATGAAGCCACTTGTGAGTGCCACCTCTGCAGGATGCCGCACAGCTCTAGTCTTTCAGGATCAGTGGGCGTGTCCTTGCTCGTGGTTTTGGAGACGGGCATTGGAGCGTGTATAAAACCTCACGAGTATTTGGACCTGACCCCTCGCTCCTCCCTGCACCTCCTCTGCAGTCCTGCACCACAATCCTCACACTGCCAAGGTCATCCGATTAGCATGCATGAGAGAGGGCACACAATAAGCGCCAAATGTAAACCAAACAGAGATGGGAGAGGACACTGTGGCAGCATGCCATCCTGAGCAAAAGGCCAGTCTCACAGCTTTTATCAATACATAGCTACCATTGGCCAATAATGTTTAATACAAACAGGACTAAAATTAATACTGTTAAAATGCAGATTTTTGTTGTATTACAATTTTTTATTTTTTTTATTAATTTGTGAATTTATATGCAAACACCATTTAATCAATGTGAAGAACTCTGTGTCTTGGCCCTCCTCTAGGAGAATGACATCATCGTGTAGAATTTGAAGACAACAAGTATATTTATATTTATTAATTTATAGATTTCTTTGTAATTTTGTGAAAAACATTTTTAGAATCTGGAAATTAATGTTTATTTACTTATTAGTTATCACCCTGCACGCTAACTTTTTAAGATTTGTTTTGCTTGTGTCGAGATCAAGACAGCCAACATCCAAATACACGCTTTTATGTAAACAGCTCTTAACATCTGAATGTGAGTGACCACATCTTGTTCCAGCTGAAACCAAGGAAGAAAAATAAATCCTTCTATCAGTGCATCTCCGGAGACAGGCAGTAACATCCTGCCACCAGAGAGGTTTCTGATAACTAACAGTGATACATGCAGTACACTGTGCCTAACCCATGCAAACCACTTCAAGTCCCATGATCCTTTGTGCTGCCTCCATGCACAAGAGCCATAATGAAAAGCAGACAAGCTCTCCCACTGCACGGACCACAGAAACCTCCGCTCACTACACATAAGAGATTAGGGCGCTCATTAGGAGAGGAGGCAGGAACACGGTGAGCAACAGGGAAGGACAAAGAGCCTTTCCAGGAAAAAGAACGTGCTGAGCCAAAGGTCTTCACTACAGAAACTTCAGTCTCTCGTCTGTAACTGCATCCTAAATACTTTTAAATAATCATATGCAGCAGTCACAACACAGCAGATAATTAACTGCTTCATTTACTATACAAAAACATTCACTGACTGGCTCTTCCTGTTTACTAAACAAAACATTAGGAAATTATAAACTATGTTGCTTATGTGTGCAATGAAAAATATCATTGCAAGATTTTAGTTTTTATTTTTAATCTCAAGCAAACATTTTGATAGGTCCCTCCCTTGTCCCTATGAAAAGGGGAAAAGAGATCCTATATCATGAGAAAGTGACTCTTTCTGAGCTTTAAACCATGTTATAATGCTGTTACCTCATCAAAAACATACCTGTTATTGTCTTTTGTTTCATTCACACATGTTTGAGTAATCCTGCATTATTAGTCTGTCTACATCTCCAAAGCTCAAAATTCTCTGTTTCACCTTGTGATATCATGAAGCTGTAGTTTTCCAACTTAACAGCTACCTTTTACCTTCTATTCAATAGAGATCGGCAATCCTAGGGCTGAAAACATCCAAAAAGGTGTATGGAGTTTAAAAACATAGTGGAGCACTTCTTGTATTACCACATAACATCACAAGGATGTCATGTGGTAATATGCAGGGTAATATGCAGGGTTTGTGTTAAGCATATGTGAATGAAACAAAACAACTCCAGGTGTGTTTGTAATGAGGAAACAACATTATAACATAGATCTGAAAATAGCCTCATATGGGTACTTTAATACCAGGATATTCAACAAATTAAAACACTGTTGATCAAGCAAATAAACATTTATGTTAAAGAAATACATTGAACACACAGCATAGTAGAGACATATTGAATCTGTATTATGAATTACGTTGGCGGAATTATAAAGAAAAACAGTAGCACTGCCCTGTGTAGGTGGAGCATCTAATTCCGACCGGTAGTGTTTATAGGTGCCAAAAACCGGCAATTTCCCCTCGTCTGTGCAAAGTCTGTACTTCACGGCCCGCATATTTACTTGCATGAAGAAACACAGAAATAGACCAAACTTTAGCTAACGTCAAGCCAGTTTGAACAACAACACTTTTCTCCTGCCAGTGAAATTCTCAAGTAGGGTTGGGACAATAAACAACAATATCATAGCGTGATAAAAAGGGTACACAATAATCATTTGTGGGACATTTTATACAATCGTGATAATCGCCAACAAAAATAATCGCCATTATATCACCAGAATGTGCAGAAAAAAGCTTAACCATAAAGTTTTCTGCTAGATCATTGTTGTTTTCAGTTATAATAAAGTACATTACTATAACAGTTGTTTGGAACCTATGGAACTTATGTATTATATTACAATTACAATTATTTATTATCCATAAACATTTTGAACTATCAGTAACTTTAATAATGATCGTGATAATAACGTTAATTGCAGTTATTTAGGCCCTGATAATCATGATACCAAACTCTCAAGGATTATTTATTTTGTTCCTAATTATTGTTATTATTACAGAGTGGAAAGCAGCAGGGACTGTGTGTGAAGTAATGAAATGCAATGAAGTCAGGTGCAAAAAGGTTAGCCAGATTTGTGGAAACAGATATTAAATTTATATCTGGGGAATAAAATGTGGAGTATATGAAAAGGTTAAGTTGTTACAAAAAGGCAGAATGAGACAAGTGGTTGTAGAAGTAGCAGCTCCAAATTGTAGCACTCAAAAATCTCTTCATCCAAAAAACTACTCTGCTCTGTTGGTATGTTAAGCATGCCTCATTTTGTCTGAGCTTGAGGTAAAAAGCACACATTTTACATATTTGGACATAGAAGAATTAATTCTTTAGGTATCCTCAGGGGACAGAATTATAATTGCACATATTTATGAGATGTTTTCACTGTTGGTGTTTGCGAGTTGCCAGCTGCTCCCTCGGGCACTTGTGATCTCTGACATGTCTCCGTGAATGCACAATTGTGCTGGTAGCGTCACTAAACCTGCAGCAGCAAGTTTTCATTTGACAGCATGCCACATAGGGATCATACAGGGCTGCCATTCAATATGAACAGAGGCACCTACACGCAGAGTTTTACAATGCAGAAATGCAGAAATGTCTTCTATTGGCCCTTTTTATTCTGGCTGTATGGCTCTTTGTCAGAGCCCAAGTAGTTTCATTAAAGTGACTCTATAGTCCAAAAACAACCTGAACTATACTGGCATCATGGCCTTGCCTATTTTCCACCGGCAAGGCTTGCTTATGCACTTCTAATACACTACTTCTTTTATATTGACATGAGTGCTGTGCATCAATAAACAGGAAACATATGATGCTGAAGTGTTAGCTTTGTTTTGGCTAAGCATAACAGCTCAACAGATTTATTGCCATTATTGAAAATACAGCGGGCTTATTACAAGATCAAGTGAGTGTGCGGTGAGAAATGATTGTTTGTTTTGTTGTTGTTTTTTTCTGGATTCTCTCTTGCTCAATCATCTCATTTGGTTGTTTAGCCTTAGCTAAACCGTTCTGGGCTAGAGCGCAGCAGGGTCTGCTACAGACCCCTCAAACGGGCCAGTACAGTTCGCTTTAGACAGTGGAGACACTTCTGGACCATAATAGACTCTAAAGTGAACCAGTAAAAACAAAGCTTTTGTTTCTCAATGTATTATCATAAATATTAGAAAGTAACTATAGGCTTAAAATTAAAAGATTAACAGATTAAAAATAGCCGTAAGTGGCATTCATACTCATTCATACTCAAATTATATTAGATTAAATTATTCAAATGAAAAATGATTTGTGTCATCACAGCTTCTCCAGAATCAATGTGAAAAACTAGGGTTGTTATATCAAGCAGTTGTGAATAGTTTAAATGTGGCTTTAATGTAAATAAGGTACCCTGTATGTATGAATCAAGTGTAACATCCCACTACTTTTTTGTGATTACTTACTGTAAGAGAAACTGATGCGTGGCGTGACATCATCTTCAGTGGCCGTCACAAAGTAGAGTAGACTGGACAGAAGAGCAGCAGCAGCCAGCAGACAGGGGCCTGCTGCAGGAGATGTCCACATGGTTGTGTATGACAAGTGTACACAGACTGTTTAGAAAATTCCTTGGTCTCCTCTCTGATATTATTTGTTGCCTCCCATCTTCCAGTGAGCCAAAGGGGGAGTGATGGTGTCTTGATACTCCTACTCCCTGTGGTCCTTTTGCAGTTAGTGGACTTTTAGTGCAGCGCAGAAGTATCTTTTAGAGATTAAAGGGCGCTTGCCTTCACCATTCTCTGTCCGTGGCGGCGAATCACTCTTAAACCCCATCCAGTGTGAATTTAGAGAACATATCCTTGCATCTGTGAAGGCAAAAAAAACAGCAATTGTGACTTCAGTTTCAACCCAGAAAGATTTCTTGAAGAGATTAAACCAAAACAACAGATCTTTATCCAAGTCTCTGTGGTTAACCAAAGCAAGCTCGTAATACAATTGCCTGTAGATGGCTCTGCAGAGTATGCTAATAATTAAACTACAGCATTAATCAGGTTAAAGCAACATGTACCAACACACAATCTCACTCATCTTTTTGTCATGATGTTTTAATAATATAGCTGTAGAGTATGAAACATTTATGGCTCCGCTACTCCTCACTGACACCACATTGCAGAACTAAATCAACTTAAACCGACCACCAAGTTTGAAAACACACCATTTAGGTGCAGTTCACACATATCTTTCTATGTTAAAGAACGATTTGATGTTTTAAAGCCGTGTATTTAATTACTGTGTCATTTCAGCTATCCCCAGGACTATTATATCAACTTGGCTCTAATTTTCAGGCTATAAATGATAGAAGGGTAATCGCAAAGACATCCTCTGTAATTTGAACACTAGCTCTTTGACTTTTATTGGCCTCAGTGTCAGTGTAGAGATAAGATGGCTTAGATATAGCCTGAGATTTTGTATTGGTTGAGATTTCTGGGAAAACTCATTCATCCTTATAAATCTTAAACATAACAAGTTGACTACTAGTACTTTTAGCTGCTGACGTTGCTTTTGCTCTCCCCCTACTCCCACATAGGTAGTGAAGCTAAGAAAATAAACATAGCCAAGTACATGGGCATGGCTATTGGGGTAGCTTGCATCACTGAGCCAAATCCCCGAAGACCTCCAATGAAATGTTTATGGTGGATAATAAAGTCAACTCATGGTGAATGGGGTGGGGGTCAAAGGGGAACTTTTATCCAGTCGGGGGGAGCGCAGTCGGGGAGTAGTCAAACATGCACCATCATCAAAGGGCAAGTCAGTTTACAGAAGTGGGTGGTGGCGTTTTATCTTTTTAAATGGCCCTTCAACACCAGTTAATTGGTACCCATAGCAAATTTAAAACTTAGCATGACAAGATACTCTCTGTGGCATTATTGTGTTTTCTGTGTTACATTTTCAAATAAGCAATCATAACTTAAGTTTCCCCATCACTTGTCTCTCTCTTGGTCCTCTTCTTTCCTGCCGAGTCTGCACCAACAAGCGTGACAGTCCCACAACCCAGGTCTCCATGTTCCCAGGGCAAGTCCTTATGTAACTCAAGAGGTCTTTTAAATTTTAATGAAATGAAGAGAAGGGGTCTGCTGCTAAGGGAGCTTTCTTGCCTTAAAAACAGCAAAAATGCTTCAGTATTTATGCGTTTACATACCAGAGCTGCAAAATGACCAAAGGTTTATGTGAAGAGGTCAAGCCAAAGGTCAGTGGCCAAAAACAGCGTAACTAAGTAAAACTTCTGCTACTTCAGAAAGTTAATGAGAAACATCCAAAGAACATCCAAAGTGACAGTTACGGTATAACACCCAAGCAAAACAACAAACCAGTTTTGGGCCAAAGCATCATTTTCTGACACAACCGAAACAAGATGTTAATCACATAAAACATAAGCTTCAAAAAAAGTAATAATAAAATAAATTATATATAATAAACATTATTTATTTATTTATCTTATAGCTCATTGCCCTGGTCCCATCTGGTTGTCAAAGACAGTGGGTGCTGGCCCTTGTTGCTACGAGGGGGGGACAAGGCGCCATATTGCTTAAGGCTACAAATTCATTAACCTCCTGCCCCTCCCTCGAGGTACTCTTTTTAATATCAGCATCTGCTGAGGGAGAGAGAAAAGATGTACAGACACATTGGCCAGTGCACTTGGCCCAGGTCACCACAAGTTCACTGCATACAGAGCTGTGCTTAAAGCTAACTATTTGGCTAGTTTGGTATCTGTGACTTTGAGAGATGTTTTGGAGCTTTAGCAGCAGGCTTTGGATAAGTCATGTCTTCAAAGTGACTTGTCTCATTTAGTCCTTGGCATGGAGCAGGGCACTTATGGAGATAATCAGCTGGCCTGCAGGACCTTGTGATGAGAGTGAGATCACTGAGCTCTACATGAGGCCAGATTAGGCCGACATCCAATCCATTAGGAGTATCGCCTACATCTTGGGCCAAAGCGTACTTGCATTTGCATTTATTTAAAACATAGTACTCCACCTAGCTAGTTTCAGCCAATGTTATGGCTTTATAACATAAATATTTACTTACTAATAAATGTTGTATAAAGGTCATAAACAGTTGTGAGCTTTTTCCACGGCTAACCCCTAAAAAACACCACCCATGGATGTCTGATTACTATTCAGTAAGATTTATGGGGGTATTTCATTGGTCAGAAAAGACCCCAGCGGGTGACTGACAATGCATGGACTGCATGCTGGTCTTGTTTTAGTAACTCATCTATGGCTGATCAGGAGGTGGTTTCTCAGTAGGGTGTTTGTTGAAATATATACTATTGTAAGTGCCTATCAGGACTGCGTGACAAACTAGCCTTGATTAAGTATTCACTAATAAAAATTTCATGTTTAATCTTTATAGGTTGCGTTCATGTGACATCAGAGCTTTCCAAAATCCCAATAGTTTAAAACTGAGCTGGAAAGCAGGTAAGACCCCAAAAATGTGATTGTTGTCATTTGTCAGTTGAAATGACTTTACTATTTCTGGAGCCAATCCTTAACAAACAATGATTGTTTGAGACTTCTACATTTGTTGATCATACTTTTGGATATTTCTGTCAAAAACAGTAAATGTCCATTAGAATGATTTTGGCCCCTGCTCTGCATCTGAAATAGTGAAATCATCATAGTCTACAATGTTAATACAAACCTATTGACTACGTGTGACCTAATGCACACACCACCTCTTCCAATACAAGCCTCTTGAGATGAGAAGTTGGGGAACACGAGAGAGTTTCAGCTGACTGCTCCCAGCTCCAGGAACGCAGACATCTAAATAAATCACCAGCAGGTTAAAAATAAACCGTAACCCCTTTCGCAGCAGTAGACAGGAGCAGCAATTGTTTCCTAAGCCACTAGGGCTCATAGTAGCTTCATCATCGGACTGACTTGGCGTATTTATCCCACGTCAAAAGCATGATTCAGCACGTCTGAGAGAGCACATTTGCCGAACTGAGATTAAAACGTAAACATAGGGCTTTCTAGACAATACCGTTAATGCTTGTTAGGCCTGTCTGCTGGGAATACAAATGAATAGAAATCTCAAAAGTCTAAACTGCTAGGAAACCTCTTTGTTTTTCTGGAAATGTAACAAGATAAACCTGGAAATCTTTTGAGTAGAAGAAACTCGTAAAATGTGAGAAAATAGGGTAATGGACTATGGGATGTCAGGCAAGCAGGAAATTAAAAGCTCTATATAAATAAAGCAGCCAACCTGTACAATTACAGGTCCTCAGATAGCGGAACAATAAAACTATCATCTTACATGTGCCACTATGACTTACATGAATAAAAGGCACACTGGGTGGGAACAGACACAAAGAAGTCAAATGGGGTTAGTAATATTATTTCTAGCCTGCAGGTAGGACTTTTACTTGGCTTTTTTACAAACCCGCTCTCTGTCTGCATACACAACACTGAAGATTTTAGCAAGGATAAAATATATAAACACTTTTGTGCTCACTCCAAACTTTTGTAATGTGGAACAGATGTTTGAGGATCTTAATGCCTCAAGGCGAACAGCTTGTGATAGAGACAAATTGGGATGAATACCACTTAAACGATATGAATGGCCCTCAATAATGTTACACCATTGCTATTTCCTCTATGCAAATGTGATGTTCAGAACTGGTTGCAAGAGGCTTATGAAAGAAAACAGCTTGCCACAGTGGCCATGATTGTCTAGCCATATAAGACACCAGTATCAAGTGTGCAAAGTAATATATTGATTGACCACTACTCTAACATCCCCAAAATAGGAAGTGCATTGTGGTTTCAAGGCACCGTGCCACCCCCCAGATACGTTACAGTAATGAAAGTCTCTTAATAGAATCTCTTTACTGCATTATTAATTCACAAGTTTTGATATCCTAGAGTGGGGATAGAGGGATACCAGCTCTTCCAGCATGTGTGATCAATTATTCATCCCATTCTCTCGTTGCTATATATTCTGATATTTCACTGATGCCACTAGAAGTCTATTTTTGAAACTTTTACAAGGTTGTGAGGTTACAAAGACTTGCGATCAAATCTGAAGTTTTGTGGAGATGTTGGTGATATGTAAGGCTGCAAGAGGATCTTTTTCATACTCAAGTCATTAAAACTTTACTCACAAATGTACTTGATAACTTTTAATAAGGTTTAAATGTTTTTAAAAGTAATCATAAGGAAGAGGAGAAAGGAGTTAATTCACCTGGGAATTTTAAGTGAATCAAGATCCAATCAGACTTGAGATTTTGAAAGAATAAATTAGACTATTTTTGTGTTAAATGGCACTGTCTGTCTTTTTCATGAAATTAAAATTAAATGTTAAAAAAACTAAAATTGAAAACTAAGTTAGACCTTACACTTTAATTGCATAGCAGCTAGTACTTTTTTTTTTTTTTTTTTTTTTACATCTACCAAAGTAATGATTTTTTAACATGGTTTTGTTGAGAAAAAAAGAAAAAGAAACAAAACAAAACAAAAAGTATAGCAAGAACAAAAATGTGGCTGTTTGCTGCAGGTGTTCCAATCAGTAGGAGCAAGTAGAGGGTGCTCTTGGAAAAAAGGATCAAAACTCAAACACAACAGACTCCAGGCACTCCAAGCACTATAGTTAAAAGGCCTTTATTTGAATGGCCAAAGCCAACATGTTTCGACCTTAACTGGTCTTCATCAGGGCTTAATTAAAACAAAAAGTATATTTAATTGACACAGAATTGCTTAAGTTAAGAAGGTGACTTTGTGTGTGTGTGTGTGTGTGTTGCAAAGGCAGAGATCATGACTTGACACTGTTATAAGAATGATCCAACAGGCTTTAAGGGATAGTCAGACTGGCCCTTTTGCATTAGTGTACATATCGCTCAGCTTTGCCACGAAGGAAAGGAGCAATTATCATTTCAAACAAGTGAGTGAAGCAGAACTGGCGAAGGAGATAAGTGCTCAAAGGAGAGCTGGGTCACCTTATTCCCTGTGATACTCGTGCGCCCTTGCCTCAAATTATTCAAGCCTGACAGGGAACAGTACGAGATTGGGCCCTGAAAAACTTGCAAAGCGTCAATAATGAGCAGTGTGTGTCAGTTGCAACGCAGGTATGTAATTTGCACTTCATGGCAACGCTGATGAAACTATGGAAACCAGAAGGGCCTCCTTGGAGACGAGTAAATCGCAAATGACTGTATTTAAGATCTTTATGTAACTACATTTCACACACTTAATGTTAACACTGATTTGAGGAGTTACAAAAGTAGGACTGCAAGATAACTGTAAACTGGAATTACCATTTCTTGTACTTGTTTCTCATGAGCTTAGCGAGTGTCAATACAAGTTGTAACAGTAGCCTGATGATGTCAGTCTAAAAGTAAAATGAGGTGTAACTTGGGCGAGGGAATAAAGTTATATGTACACAATAGTACTTTTCAAACCGACCATGCTGTTACAATCACTTCACTAAATATACACTAATCTATGACTTCATATCATTGTCTGTTCTCATTTGGATCCTCATGACCCAAACACTGTGGTAATCCATGTAGTCTATTATTTTCTATGACTGACTATGAGCATAACTGTCCATATCGCAATTACAACTGTACATTCACATCCAAAAATAATAATCTTGATTGTAACCACTCGAGCGTACAATTTCACTTTTTTCTAAGTGGAAATATGGTACTGTTGGTTTGAGTTGTTTGTCAGGTTTGCCACTTCAAGGCAGTTGAGTGTTTATTTGAGGTAAACATATGTTCTTCAAAGGGACAGTTGAGGCATGGGGCATTGTTTACTGTTAGGTAAAGCCTCCTTGCTTGTCTTAGTGAGCAGTCAAAGCCAATAAAGGAAGTAATAAGTCAACAATGTACTCCCTGCTGGCAACAGGCCCACTGATAAAAGCTGATGCAAGGAGGAGGAAGAGTCTGCATCACTGTAATAGAATCAAATCAGACAGTTGATCATGTAAAGATATCTGGGAATTAATTTCAGTGATAAGGAAGTCTGATTGCATTAGGAATCGATGTGATGGGATTTCAAGCTGCACCACAGGAAGAGATGCAGCCAGTTCAGTCTAATACTGTGAAGACAGTGACGAATAAATAATCTATAAATTTAGTTTTTATTTGCCAACTTGTTACTCACTGACACACCAAAAGAGCTCTAAGGGGAACTGTCTCTCTGCCCTGTTGATGTAATCGTTAGCTCATCAGTCTGGGAAGGAAACAACACAATCTAGACAGAAATTTGGTGGAACAAACATTTATGAACAGGGAGGGCATGTGAGGCTAAATGGCTCATAGGAAATGCAGCCTGCAGAAGTGAGTGCAAGGGAAATGATAAAAAATGTAAATGATCTGCCAGCCTGATTCCACTTTAACCTCTGGTTCAATTAAATTTCACTTTCTATTGAAGAAGAACATAAAACTTAACTTCCTTAGCCAGCAGTAGTGGTCACATGATCAAAACATTTCAAACTCAAACTTTCAATTCTCAGGAAATTTTAATACCACAATGATGAAAAAAAAATCAAGAAAGGTCCAATTTTTTCCAATATATGCAATGTGTTCAATTTACTTTCTACACAAATGAATATTTAGTTTTGAATAGATTTATGTATGACCCTAGCAATAGTAAATAACACCTTTTATAATGAAAAACTCATGCTCCATTTTATTCTCATTCTCATTGTAGCCCAACATTAGGGTTAGACAAACTTTATTGATTCACAAGGGAAATGATTTGGACAAGAGCAAAGCCAAAGTAATACTAGTAATATATCACTGTCAACAATCATATGAAATTATAATTGAACCAATAATTTAGTTGTATTAAGTTACTACAGTGATTATAGGAATAATATTTTAGTTGAAGTAAAAGGTTTAAAAAGAGGTTGCTAACCTAACAGATCTTTCAGCATGGATTCACTTTTGTGGATTTTTTCTGTATTAGTTGAAAAGATTCAAAAGTTTCACATCAGCTGATTCTCAAGAACATTCCAGTCAAGCAGAAAGTCTGTTTTCCATTACAAATCAGGGTCCCTAAACTCCTCACTTTTAACAGTGCTTCTTTCCAAAACAACAGGACGGAAATGTAGAAGACATTCATCCTTCTCTAGAGAGGAGCCTGTTACTTAATATATTTCCATCCCGAGAGGTTTGGGCCTCATCTAAGTCAAAACACAAGTGCAGACTTTTGTCACAATATAAACCTTGAATAAACTATGTGCTGTCCACCCTGGTCTCTCTGCTGCTTCCAATTAACAGGGGACCATGCCCAGGCCATAAGGAAACTATTTAAGCTCTTATCAGGAAAGGAACAGCATGAGCAACAGGTAGAAGAGGAAAAACAGGGAAATAAATGCAACCCTCATCTGCACGACACCACTGGTATTCAGATGTCTTCTTTGGGCCAGGATCTATCTAAACCCCTGCAGGGCCTGGACAGCCTTCTTCATAAGAGCCGTGGGTCATCCTGAATATGAATAGGCCTACACAATGTAACAGGGCAGCAGAGACAGCAGGTAGAGTGCAGCCAGGGATTTTTTTTACTCAATGCAAATGTGAACTATTAACTAACGCCCATGTGTAAACTCCAAGTGTTACTTTTCACAGTTTAGGCAGCATTAACAGCACAAGAATTCAAGCAGATTCCTCAAACAAACGCGCCTCTCGTTGCCAAATGTTCTGGAAAACCTCAGAGAAAACAAGAACAATATGAGATTTTTATACATGCATGTTGTTTTACTCAAAGCTGACAACTTCTTGGTAGTAGTTGATGAAATACTATGTGATCAGTTGCATTCGTGCCTTGTACTTTGGCTCAGGTCCAGGGAAGTGACCCAATGTTAATATGGGATGCTTAGGGGACTGTGAACACGCACGTTCCCATCAAGCACAACAGCGTCAGCATCCAGTCCCAAAGGGCAAAGGGGATATCATTAGTTTTTTTGTCAAATGGCATCGATGTTGCAATGTTGACTTCCTCTCCATCCCTTTAGCCATGCGCTGACCACCGCTCTGAAGTTGTTACAGTGGGTGGGGTGTAGGGTGGGGTCTGTTGTTTGTTTTTTGGCTGGGAGTGTGATGCCGTGGGCGGGGGGCTTTTCAAAGAGTCACAGAGTGGAAGTGTGCAAGATGGTGGTGAGTCGCACTGCCAACGGTGTGTTATTAGTGTTACCGATACTGTATCACATGGTAGTGAGAGGAGGCCAACAGCTGAGGCCCAAGGGGGAAACGCTACCCCATCCGTCAGCTCCAGCACGGCTCTAGCTCCAGCATAAGGCTAAAACAGTGCTTCTCAAACTTTGGTCCCCCACTCCTTAAAGCTAGACCTGTTTTATTATTGTTTGAGTACCACTCTGGGTATTCCGTTTTAATTGCAGTGCCTGCTTCAAGCACTAATTTCATTCCTAATTTAGTTATAGCTTTGGTTTTGACGGATCTATTATGTAATCTTTTCCCCGTTTTCCCCCACAACTGTATTTTCATTAGATTGGAGTTACTAAATGCTAATTTGCTTTCCACCAACAAACAGAAGGCCTAATTAATTTTAGTTTATACAATTAAAACATATGAAAAAATGCAGAAAATAGAAAAAAAAAAAGATTTGACCAGTGAAAAACAAAAAGAAATGTGCTCTAACCAAATCTTAGTTTGCTTTATAAATCACACTAAGGTAGGCTACATAGGGTATGTCAACACATTCCAATCAGAGATAACTGAGAAACTACGTGCAATTTCATCAAAATATCCAAAGCCCCCAAGGCGCAATGCACTGTTATGGCACGTTCTTACACAGGCCTTCTAGTTTAATTAGCAGAAGGGTTATGTTCCAAAGATTCAGAAAAACTAAATATTTATTGTTGTCCACACATCTGCAAAGAGTAGGCTCAGTTGTTATTCCACATGGCACCAACCAGCAGAAAGTAAAGGGTGCACTGAACATAACCTGACTCATCCAACATTACACATGGAGCCTACTACATCGTCACTGTCATTAGGCCACTCAAGTTGCGTTAACAGAAAGGCAGACTCCATTCAGCCGGGGCTACAATGCACCTTGGCTGATTAAATTACCTACAAACACAAGGAGCAGTTTTGGTTGAGAAGACTACACCAAAGTTAAGAGAATTAAAAGCTTGTTGTTAAAAAGCACCGTCTCGTAACCTAGTGCTGTAGTCAAAATAAAGAAAAATTCAACTTAATGTAGTTTTTTTTTCCCATTTTTGTTGATGTTTCATCACGCAGCGTGACTGCGTCCCTACTCCAAAAGGTGTACCCTAATCGCACCTCAAAACTAGCCCACGAGAAGACGCACAAAAGCCTTACCGTCATTGCGTTTCAGCGTCCACTGCCTTTTACAAAAGTCCGCTCAAAAGTCCAATCCGTATGTTAAAAGTGTTAGAAAGAGCCAGAATAAGGTTTAAATCCACACAGTCCGCTTGGTTTGAGTGAAGAGAAGTGTCCACAGAGTAAAGCCCAGCAGTGTCGGTTTACGGTCGAGCCTCCTCCACTCTCCAAACTGCAGCTTGGTCCGTCCCACATCACGCACAAGTCCCGCCCCCCGCACACGCTCACTGTCTGCTCCACATTATCGACTCATTTCTGCATGAAATTACTCGTGCTGAACCATAGCAGGGATTCAGGGAAATATGACCCAGACTTCAATTCATACGTCTGCTGTGTTAGAAAGGGGATTTTCAGAAGTTGCGTAAATGTTGACTTATTTTATTAAGCATATTAAACTTTGAAGTTGCAATACTGTGGACTTTTTATTTATTAAACGCAGAAGTTATATCTAGTTGTATCTTCACATAGGCTATAGAAATACAGTAAATTTCCTCTAAATTGAAATGGGCTATTTAGAGAATATAACCCATCCTCAAGTTTTAAACTGTACTAAGTAAGTATTTTTAAATCACCAACATTTTATGAGCTCTGATGAAAATAGGCCCACAGAGCATAGCATGCTACTGCAAATTTACAAGTTAGAAGGTAGTGCTCTTCAGTGTTGCTGTTACAGTATATAGCTCAGATCATGTAGGCCTATGTTCAAATTCACATAAAAAATATTAGACTGAAGTAAAACTATTAATTTTCACTACCAATAATAAAATAAGAAAGTTGTGGTAAGTATTGAGTAGTTGCAAGTGAGTATCAAAATATTGTAACTTTATCTCTGAAAGCGTATGCCAGTTTCTGTGATTCAAACCACACAATCTGTGTCATGTCAGAAAAATAATACAAATGAAATGCTGACACTGCAGGGAGTAGACATCACATACACTACACACAGAAGATGAAATATAAGTATCTTAAGTAAACAATATTAACCACACTTACAGTTGACCGTTGAAGTCTGGCTGTGTAGCATTTTGCATACAGCCATACCCTGCTGCCATTAAACAAAGACTGACAACTGAGAGTGTCCACCACAAAGAGAATTACAGAGGATTATGAACCAAAGCAATGACCTGAACGTCGGCAGAACCAGTCACTCATGTAATCTCTTTTTTGGATGTTGAAGAATTATAAAAATGTGCACCAGATTGAACTGTCCTTCTGAGGATAGCCCAAACAACAGATTGCTCACATTTTAATCATATCATGTATGTCAAAGAGCAGGACAATTAAAGCAATTGCAATCTTTACACAATAATAAAAATCCACCATAAGTTTTGAAATTTGATAATCCTTGACTTATGTTTTGACTGAGACATACCATAAGGGTTTAGCCAAGGACACGTTGCTCAAGGCTACATCTTTAAATGCTGGCAGTTTCCTTTTTGAAATGTTGTCACCCTGCCACATAGGTTACCATGCTTCCCATATCACCAACTGGAGGAGTGGGTGACAGGTGGGGTTAGACTTGCATCAGACGCTGTGTCTCTTCTTCTCATGGTCTGTCTATAAATGTTTCCACCATGTTGTCTGCAAGAGCAAAGCCTAAAATCAAGTTGCTCTTCTTTATCTGCGGAGCTCGGACGTAATCCCTCAAATTGAATCAAGGATTAGTTTGAGACGATTAAAATCATCCAACTTGTGCAAAAATTGGCCTTAAAACAACAGGGGTGCGCTGAACAATCCGCCAGTGCAAAAACGAAGTATGAGGCTTTGAAGTGTAAATGTGCTGATTTAAAGCTTCCATGTCTATTATTTGTTTTAAAAATGAATGCAATTTAACCTTCACCTTGCAAAGTGAAGAGAGGATTTTATAACACTGAGAATGGCTGTGCAGATCTGGGCAAAGCTGGGCAATAGACTTTAAGTGGCCTCCTGCCTGTTGGGATTTTATTGGATTATTTCACACTTTTAAAAAAAATCTTATGAGACACACAAAAAGAAGATATATACGGCCTGTCAGGATAATTACTAGATTGACTTTTCCTTCAATGAGAGAAAGAACAATTTTAAGCTCAATAATTATGCATATCATTAAGAACTAGTGGAGGTTTTTTTTTTTTTTTTTTTTTTTATTCAGAAAAACTTTCCCTGTTGGTGATATAAAGAAACTGCTATATAATTGTTTATAATTATCTCTTTCTGTACTCCTCAGAAGATTCTTCACTCTGTGAGGGGGAAACGGCGGGACTTTGAACGGATATGAATGCCTTTTTTGAACATTTTGGCAGGACTGGACTTGACTGTGGGTTGATGTTTGATTGCCCAGTTGTTTTTGTGTAGTTTTGTGTGTGTTTTGAGTGTAGAGAGAAGGATGATGTGTGGGAGGGTTTTGTCTTTTGTTTTTGTCTATTTTGATTTTGATTTTGTAATATATAAAAATAAATAAATAAATAATATTAATAATAGTCATCTTTTTTGTAAAAATATATCATCCTTCAAAATAGTTTATTATGACAGGCCTAACAAAACATTATCATTCTGGGCTTTTAAATTTACAGTCAAATGATAATGGAAACAGTTTTCCAAAACCACATTAATCATCTCTGCTTAAAAAATATTCCTCTTGTTGTAAAGATACATGAATGCACAAGACTCAATCCAGAAGTCATTCACATTAAGGTCATGACCACCCACTGAGCCCATACTGAGGTTAAGTACATGACAGACTCTTTCAGTAATGGAGTGGATCAGATTTAAGGGATTATAACAGTAAATATGTTGTATGGATTTGCCAACATTAACTCCCAGCCAAAAGAGAAGTTACAAGATGGTTACAGAAGTTAAAGAAGAATCACTGTAAAGAATTGTTCTATTATTTTTTGTTTTGGTTTTTGGTATATCTTTATTCTTCTAATGTTCTTGCACTGTGTTTTGCAACAATGGAATTTCATTGTGGGACAAAGAAAGATTCTCTTCTATTTTTTAAAATTAGTTTTATGTGATTGTAAGTTTGGTGACAAATAAAACATGAACAAAAACACTATACTACTTTATAATAATATGAGAAACATGTATGGGAAAATTAAAGCAGAGATTGAAATCTAATTGTAAAAAAATTTGCCAATAACTCGTAAAAAGAGTACATAAATATTATAGTGCAGTACAATAAACATTATCATTCTGTATGTAATAAATGTCAAAACAGTTGTTAAAATTGTCATCTCAGTGAAAGTTAAACAGCACAGACTTAATATGGTGCAAAGTTCCTCTAAGTACTCTTCTGTATTCACGGAGGACAGTGGAAGTGATTTAGCTCTGCCTTCATAGCTCTGCCTCCATGACTGTGGGGTTTGTCCCAGCTCGGCAGGACGTGATGGAACCCAGGCAGCCCGGTGCAGGTGTCTCCCGCTCAGAGAAGACAACCAACAGCATCTTATGACTCATCCTGTGCCCTTACCCTGTCCCGCCACAGACAGCCCCAAAATGTCCTCCCACTCACACCTACACGGGAGGAGCCAAGGGACCATCACTCCTCTCTCTGATGATGATTCATGACTTTGAGACTGAGGCAGCTCTCTGCACTCAGGAAGCTTCTCTATCCGACTCCATCCTGAGATTATTGTAGACAAGATGCTCATAAATCAGACAGGAATGACTTGCTGATTTCATACTTCTATATCAAACAAGTGACGGCTGAGTGCATGTGAAATTTGTCCTGAGTTTTCTAACATACAGAGTTATTTCCTTTTTCCCACAAATACTGTTTTTATGTCAACATGAGACTGTCATTAGTGATGTTTGCACTGTGCAGGGTGTATTTGCTATGTTATAAATCTTGTAAAACATTCTTCACAGTGCTCCATTGTGGAGACCTGTCAACAATAGTTTGGATTTTTGTGTGAGGGTCATATTCAGTACATGTGCAGTATGTATCAACACACACACACACAGAGAAGTTTGAGCACTTAACTTGAAATAACTGTAATTGTTGGCTATATAAAAGAAAGGTTATGTGACTTTTATAAATAACTTTGAATCAAACAGCCAAGTGAATTTTTCTCTTGGAACCAAAAACAGATGTAATGCCAGGTTGAGACTAGACCAAAACTGTGGCTGTTTGAGTTAAGGCGTGTGTTTTGGTTCTTTCAATTATACATATATATATTTTTTATGTCGTGTGAAATATCACCATGACAACCCCATTACTGAGCTTTCACATACAACACACACAGCCAAACGAAGAGGATTAAAGCATCACTAAATTGTAATTGGTATGATATCATTACCTACAAAATAAATGCTTATGTCCTCATGTTCATTCTAGTGTTTTATTCCCTGACAGACATCTTTTTCCTATTCGGAGTATCAGCAGGGGTCCTGTGTGTGAAATGACAGAGAAAATTATTAAACAGGAATTGTCAGTCCTGACATGTTCTTTAATAACTGCCTGTTATCCTCTCGTATGACACATTCAATCACCACAAAGATGACATTTTTCTTGAAAGATTACACCGACAATTTTCATGCTCACGAAATCGTTCATGTTTTGCAAATCTTGTGTCTCATCTATTGGACATATAAACTTTTCAAATAAAAATACGCTTTTCCACAAATATTTTCAATACAAGTCTATCCAGGACATCTGTGTATGAAGCACATGTGACCAATTCAAGTGAAGTTTTTCCAACTGTCATAAAAAATATAGTGAGTTAGCCATTTATATTACAATGAAAATGTTCCAAAAATAAGGAAGTCAAACATTGTCATGAGAACAAGAATTAGAATTAGATGTATATTTGAAATCTGATTATAAAAAAGTGTTTTCGAAAAAATTGAAAACTGGAACAATATAGACTTACAGACAATGAGCAGAACAAATTAAACTGATATCGTCCCAGTGACAGCTCCTGTGTACTGGGGGAGGGCTGTCATGTGGAGCTGATATGACTCCTAAAGGATACACGAGATTAATGTACCTTAATGTGTGTCTGGTTTCACCCCCTGAGGCTGCACTGGAGGGGGATGATGTTGAGGGACAGTCCCAAAGTCAATGTAAAATGAAGATGTTTGCATTATGGGTGCGCTCAATTCATAGATTTCCTTTTGTCTGGCTCCTCTCTACAGATATGGAGTCTGAAGGGCATAGGTGAAGCTCCCTCACAGCTG